CCTGCTTTGTCTTATGCTGGTGTCTGGGCCTCTGGACTTAGTGTATCCACACTCAAGCCTTGTTACAGGGCAGATTTAAATTACAAGTCAGTAATCTTGAATTATGTCTTAAATTATAAGTTGGTCATCTACCCTGGGTAGAAATACAGGCATGACACTCAGAGAGTCAAAGTAATGGTGGTGAATTGGCATTTATTTTTAATCACCACAACTGGAAGATTCTGTGAAACACCAGCCAGTGAAATCCTTAAACCTGTTAGAACATCTCACAATCCACTTCCACCAAAGTCCAAATTTTTTAAGAAAGAGAAATCAATAGAATCATTTTTTTCCCCCCAGTACATTATGATCATGCACCAGATATGACCTGGATAGGTTATCTAATTTATGAAGTGCTATCCATGAGTACAATGTGAAGACACTGTTTATTCGGACTAATAAGATTCTGAAGGAGAAGCCAAATAAGAAAGTCCTCTAGTTTATTCTTCCTTAAAAACTCAGTAATTGGATAAGCGCACGCTGACAGAAGCTAAGTGGCCCCAGCAATGAGATATGCTGGCAGGTCAATTATGCGGGCCATCTGGAAAGAGAGAAAGGACCAGAAAGGGTGACTGAGAGGTGAAGGGGCTGACGTGCCTTCTCATCCTTAATACCCGGGACAACGATCACATTGCAGAGTCTTACATGCCCCAGTTTTATCCCCTAAATCAGCCCACAGTCACAGAGTTCAGGGCGGCAGAGTTAGGGCAGGACGCTTGTCTGCCTGTCTGTCCAGCTGCAAAGTCCTCATCGCTCCTAGCAGCACCTAACTGGCTCTCCGTGTGCGAAGGGTGTAAGCGGGGCACGTCCCTCACATGCCCTGCTCTGGAGAAATCCATTTCATCATGGCTACCTTTCTCAGAAACGCCCTTTAGCCTAATAAACCTCAATTACCATGTCATAACGTTTAGTGACTAAGCCATTGTAATATCATAATTACCTATGACATAGAGACATGAGTAGCCAAATAATAAATCCAACTAATGATTATCCACAAGGGGTAAGGTGTGGGCGGAAGGTGTTTAAGGAAAATCCCACAGAAAGATAAGTAGATGCTAAGTCTAGGTTGTCCATCCAGGACTCCTTCAATAGTCCTGCCCTCTGTACTGCCAGCTTCACCTTCCACATTTCTGGGTGCCTTTCCTTTAAAATGTTTTGCCTCCACAAAGTATACATCCTAGTCCGCATTTCATCCCCTGTGCGAATTCCCCAACCACTCCTCAGTCTCCCAGGAGAGCAGCCATGTATCCTAGACAGAACCTTGGCATTAGCATGACAAAACCCAACAAAGGTTCCCCTCTGTCACTGACTACGAGTGTGATCTTGGCTAAGTCACTGACGGCTTCTGAGGCTGAATTCTTTCACCTAGAACATGGGTTGGGAATGCCCACAACTGACGAAACAGGGTTGGTTCAGACTTCAAATGCTTCTGTTCAAATTGTCAAGGATTGGCCAATTCAAGGTACCAATGTTATAAGGAAACGAATCTAACAAATGAAACAAATGTCTTGGTATGCATTGACACTGGAGGGGTGGGAGGCTGAGCAATCTACATCAGGAGGAGGTTTTGAGTGAAGACACAGCAGAGAAGCAAGGCTCGGGGTCCCAAGCCTGGGAGCAACGCGAGACAACAGCATCCTCAAGGCGCACAAGGCCCTCCCCTTGAAGAGCTGACCCTGCCGCACCAGAGGCGAGCCCCAGGCAGCACCCGCTGACATAAACAGGATGCGACCAGCAGGGTGGCTGAGCCTGCCCACGGCTCCTGGGGGGCACAGGTTGCCTGGTCCTGGGGGGCACAGGTTGCCTCGTCGGCGGTCAGACAGGCCATGTCTTCGGTTGTGTGAAGACAGCCTAACTTTTAAAAAAATATTTTCATGTTCATTACATAATTAAAACAGATATTTAAGCATACAGGTTGTTATAACAGTTATTTTATACTAACCCAATAGCAAGTCTCAGAAATGAAATAATAACATCAGTTCTATTCAGATGATAGTCTTTTACTACCCTATCGAACCAAGCAGGCAAATTGTCGTGCCACATTTAGTTCATCTTTCATTCAGACTGGAAGATTTCTGTCTAGTAACAGCATATCCCTCTGGCCACATAAGTCCTCTCACGTTTCATGTTTTCTGTCAGAATCACAGCGAAGGTGGATCAATGCACTCTCTCTCCTGCTGGTTGGAGAGGCTTTGTTCCGCAGTAGAGATGGAGAACGCTATAGCCACTCCCTGGTTGGCTTCAGTGAGATTGGTTATTTCTAGCCTTATCGGTAGGTCTAAGTTGCAGCAAAAATGCTGATAACTTCTCTAAGTCAAGCCTCTTATTTTTGGAGAAATAACTTTCATGGTTATTCTTTTTAAATTAAAGTATAGTTGACATATAATGCTATGTCAGCTTCAGGTGTGAAACGTGGTGATTCAACATTTATATTACTTATGATGTGAACATCGCAATAATTCTAATAACATCTGTCACCATACAAAGTTATTTTGATATTATTGACTATTTTCCCTATGCTGTCCATTACATCCCTGTACGTGAAGGGGAATAAGAAGTACAGACCTCCAGCTACTAAAAAAAAAAAAAAGTCAGCTTGACTTTTTAGAAAGAGCTGAGTTAGCATCTCCAGGCCAAGCTCAGCATGGTCGGCCCAGAACTGTGATTCCCCAGCCCTGCCTGGTGGTCCTGATTGTGGCTCCTTCAGCCTTTGTTTTAAAGCGAGCTTCTGGGGTTTTAGCATCCTGGTGACTGGCAGCAAATTCAACTCCACTTTGACCGAAATCCTTATCACTTCTTCCCTTGTAGGCCACACCTTAAATAGAGAAGATCTTTCTTCATATTCAGGATGGGATAGCTTAGGGAGGCCAGTGCTGTCAATGAAAACAGGAGGTCTAGATTTATGCCTCAACTATGCTGGTGAACATTAAAGTGTAGCGCAGGAGCTCCAAATCAGGAAGCTGCTTAAGTGTTCATGATACTCCAAAAAAACCCCACCCACCTTGTGGACTAGCTGATGTAGACATGCTATTTATTACTCACCTTCCAGGGGAGTGCACCCAGGGGGATGGGGTGGGGGGGTTGGTGTGAGAGAGAGACAGCACTTCCTCCAGCCTGAGGCTTCTTATAACAGGGTCCCAGACAAAGGAGGCATGTGTTCTACGGGTGACTCTAAACTACATTACCTCAGGATGTACGTGCAGCAAGAAGCAGTCACAGGACAAGAAGGTTCTCCAAAAAGGAGATAAGGAGGGAGTTACAATCTACTTCAAAAACAATACACGGTTCCTTCTGGCCAGTGGCCACGCCCATTGGCCCCACAGGTGTTTAGGAATCTAAGTGCTGTGTTAGGCTCTGTCCAGTTATTGTCTAATGTAATGCATTTAATTGCCCAGACTGCTGCCCCAACCCCTGCTAGTCATCCATCATTTGCCTTGACTATGAAACATCCATGTCCTCAAGGTAGCTTACAGATTCACACTAATTAATACTTCTTCCTCCAAGAAGGGTAGGTTCTGCCCCTCTGCTTCTGTGAGTTCCTGCACTGACTTCATTGTCATTGCATGCCTGACTGACCTTATATTTATGGCCATTTAAAACTCCTACACCACCAATCATTTATTGAGGACCAGAAGGAGTGCTAGATGTTGAGGAGAAAGGAAGATTGTTTTTTTGTTTTGTTTTGTTTTGTTTTCCTGGCAGGAGTTCTAAGCCTCCTACAGTATTTATTCTCCTATATCAGAGTTGCCTAAAAATGTGTTAGTCTCCCCTGCTAGACCGACATAGCTTCAGATAACAGTAATGTAGGGCATAAATTCTGAAATAGCACAGATCAGCAGGGGGGAGTCATTTCTCAGAGGCTACTACACAGCACTGTGATAATGTGCCAGACACAAATTGTGGTTATGTTCTGATGAAGAAGGGGAGGATGAATTGTGGAAGCCAATTAGCAATCTTTGTCACAAGAGACATGAAAGAGTTTTAATACGTGAGTGATAAATTTAGACCTGTGGGTATGGTCTTCTCTGGTGGCCCCAAAAGGACCAGTCGCAAGGGATGTGGTGCAGGGAAGGTAGCACAGCCGGGGCTGGGAAGCAGCAACAATGTGTGGTTGCCGAGAGCAACAGCCAAAACATGTTTCTTGGCTTTAACAAGTATGTGGATATAGCAGGTGATCTTTGAGAAAGCTGTTTCCTAAGAGTGACAAGGTGGACACAAAGATCTGGGGTGACGAAATTACCAGTATTTTGTCCGTTTTGTTGATTAAGGAACTAAATGTATTAGAGGAGAAACAGACACCTGCAGAAATCATTGTTGCAAGGCACAGGGGAAGGAGGGATTGTGCCTGACTGGAGCAGAGCCACAGAGGAAAAACTGCAAAACGACTCCAACAGGCAAGCAGGCCCTGGGCCTCAGGAATAACGCTTATTTTTTTCAAGTATTTCCAAAACCAGATATGGAGTGTTCTCAAACTGGGAGATCTTTATAGTCAAGCCATTACTCTCATTCGTTTTCTTGCTTTCTCCATTTCATCCAGTTAATCCCCTTCATTTAATTACTCTATAAAATGCATGAAGACAGAGACTTATGTCTTCATCACGACACCCCCATACCACCAACAGTGCTTAGCTTGGTAGTTGCCCTAATTGACCAAAGGAAGAAAGGTAATTGAGACTTTTTAGCACTTCTTTTCAGGATTTCCAGAAAGGTAGAGAGGTCTCCGCAGCTTCAATTTGAGGAAAACAGATACGATTGGAGGGGAGCACGGGCTTCTATACACAGTGGCAGAACCAAGGGAGCTGCGGAACCCTGAAGAAGGCGGGACCGGGAGCGGTGGAACAAGGTCAGGGAAATCCAGGAGCGGTGGAACCTTCGATCCTGCGGAACCAAACGGCGGAGCGCACAGAGCCACCCGGACTGTATTTGGAACGGAAGTGCAGTGGCCGCCACTTCCGGATTGCCTGTCGGCTTCGAGGGCAGGGTTTAGCCGCGGCGATGTTACCTTTCACGGTGAATTTCAAGGTGTCGGCCCGCACCCTCACCGGGGCCCTCAGCGCCCACAACAAGGCGGCGGTGGACTGGTGAGGGCGCCGGGCTGCGAGGCCGCCAGGCTCGACCAGGAGTGTGTGAGGGGAAGGGGAACAAGAGGTTTCACCCCCTGATTAGTTTGGCCTCGCCAGGACTGGGTGCCACCCTCACATCATAGCGATTTTCTTTTAAATGCTGGGTTTTTGTTGTTGCTATAAAAGTAGTAAATACCCCGTATGGGAACTTGGCGTGTGCCAATACATTTGCCCTCTTTCTTGCATCTTTGTTTCTCTTTGCTCTTTCCTGCACACTTTCCTAAAACATCCTATTTCGGTCTCTACCTCTCCTCCAATCTCCAGGCTTCTCTCCCCCCACAGCCAGTGCGCCTGACCACACTTTCTTCCCCTTTCTGCCTTTCTCTTCACTCTTATCTCTGTCCCTTACCTTGACTCATTCAACAGTGTGCGATCCTGTGCTAGGCACCTGTTCTATCCTTCAATTCACTTTTATCTTTTTACTGTAAAATAACACTGCAGCTTTGAAAATTAAAAATTAGACTAATGGAAAGCAGCGTTCTATAGCTGTGGCTGCTGGGAATTTAGGCAGGGGGACTGAAACCTCCTGTCCAGGGTTTGTCTTGTTACCTGGTTGGAAGGACCAGGACTGAAGTAGAGGTTAGGGAACATGATCCCAGGCACTTGGTGGATGCTCAGGATTCGAAGTTGAGCAATTCAAGGAGTAGACCCTCAAAAACAAATAGAAGACAGGAGACGCTGTATACTTTCTCACAGCTCTATATGCATATCTCTTAGAACGTTTTTGACCCAAGTGAAACGAATTTCAACAAGCATTTTTGAGCTTAGCTAAACCCTTTATTTAAATGAGATAATGTAAAATGCTGACCTTTGAGCTAATTTTACTAACGGTAGTACATATTCATTACATTTATCATTTATTTAGGGTGCCTCTTGACAAAAGGCCTCTTGCTTAGTTTTACTTAAATTTTAACATTACTGTTTTGTTAGGGGCTGGCAAGGTTTAATTGCTTATGGCTGCCATTCGCTTGTGGTAGTGATTGATTCCAGTACTGCCCAAACTCTTCAAGTTTTAGAAAAGCATAAAGCTGATGTTGTCAAGGTAAGTCAGATTCCACTTTGACCCTATAACCGATAGCCTGTTCTAAAGTAGCACTAGCATCTCATTAAGTCATATGTATAAATGTTGAATAGCTTTTAAATATAATAGTAATCTCTTCGAGGTTAACCTGCCATTACTATGCGGTTGACTTAACATCGATCTAGGATGAATTATTATGTGTTAGTTCTTAGGTTATTTTAAAGCTGATGGAAAAACACCAGTTCTATACCATTTGCTGGGCCATTCATTCATTATTAGTTTTGAGCACTTCGCATGTTCTAAGGAGAAAGAGATGAAAGCCCTCAAGCAATTCATTGTCTGGTGAGGAAGAATGAAAACACCAATGTATGTGGTGAGTGAGACTTGCACAGTGTGCTGCGGGGAGATGAGCCACCTGTTAGTCAGTCATAGGGATCTGGGGCGGATCACAGCAGTTTTCACTTCAGGAACCGGTAAGCAACGGGTAGCCAAAGGGAAAGCTGGGGGAGGCGCAGCACCGAAGCAAGGGAGAGGATACACAAAGGCAAGCCGTGTGCGTGAGGGTGGCTAAAGGGTGGGATACTCATGTAGGGGTGAGAAGGGAGGAGGCAGCCAGAGACGCTCACCTGCCCTGCAAGTCTGATAAGATTGTGAAACAATGTGGATTTTTAAGTAAGAGATTGATACGATCATCTTTGCGTGTTAGAAAGGCTCCGGCAGCAGTGGAGGATCTGTAGGAGGAGGGCAGTGCAAGGCAGTGAGATCATTCAACAGACTTTTGCAGTAATTTTGGCAGGAAATTCTAAGGGCCCAAAATAAAGCTGAGGCATGAAGGAGTCTTATTTAGTTGCTGCATAAAAGGTAAACTCGATAGCTTTGTAGCAATCAGTTTTAAGGGAAAGTCAGAGTATAGAATGATTCTGAAGTTTCTGAGTGACTGAATGACAGTGTTAATGTGATAAGCTAAGCGTGTGTGAAGTCAGTGAATTCAGATTTTCAACACACAAAATCTGAGCGGCCTCAGACAAGTGAATTAGAGTGATCTGAAATTTTAGGAGAGAGTGGAGACAGAGATTTGGAGTCTGTATTTATTTTTGATGACAGCTTTGACACATCCTATTATAAAGTTAACTCATGTAAAGGGTAGAATTCCATGGCTTTTAGTACAGTCACAGAGCTATGCGGCCATCGTCCCAATCTCGAAACTCCGAGAAGAAGCCTGCACCCACCCCACCCTTTTCCCATCACCTTCATCCTTAGGCAGCCACGAATCTACTTTCTGTCCTGTAGATTCACCTATTCTGGGCATTTCTTATAAGAGAAATCATGCAGTGTGCGCCCGGCCCTTTCGCCTAGCATCATGTTTTCAGGGTTCAGCCATATTAGATCATGTGTCAGTACTTTGTTACTTTTTATTGTTGAATAATATTCCACTTTATGGGTAAACTACATTTATTTATTGATGGATTTTTAGGTATTGTGAATAATGCTGTTTTGAACATTTCTGTACTTTTTGGGAGTGAACCTGTATTTTCATTTCTCTTGGGTATGTGCCTAGTAATGGAATTACTGACTCATGTGGTAACTATGTCTGACTTTGGAGGGACTGCTAGACTGTTTTCCCAAAGAGGCCGCACCATTTTACACTCCTGTTAGCTGTGTATGGAGATTGCAATTTGTCCATACCCTCACCAACACTTGTCATTGTCTGTCTTTTTGATTTTAGCCACTCTAGTGGCTATGAAGTGGTTCTCGTGCTTTGGTTTGCATTTTCCCGGTGGCTAATAATGTTGAGTATCTTTTCATGTGCTTATTGGTCATTTGCTTTTCTTCTTTGGGAATGTCTCGTCCTTTGCAGATTTCTAAATTGCATTGTCTTTTTTATTATTGACTTGTAAGAGTTCTTCGTGTTTTCTAGATCCAGGTTTCTTATCAGATATGTGATTAGCAAATATTTTCTTTCATTCTGTGAGTTGTCTTTCACTTTTTTGAAGATGTCCTATGAAGCACAAAAGTTTTTAATTTTGATATAGTTCATTTTATCTATTTTCTATATCAAGAAACCATTGCTTTTTACAATGGCAAGAAGATGTACACCTTTGTTTTCTTCTAAGAATTTTATAGTTTTAGTCCTTACATTTGGATTCCTGATCCATTTTGAGGACACACACAAACACGTGCGCACACGCGCGTGCACATGCACAGTGAACCAAGAAAAAATACTATTGTTTTTTTATATTAACCTGTATCCTGTGACCTTGCTAAACTGATTAGATCTAGTAGTTTGGGGAGGAATTTTTACATATACAATCATGTGATCATCAGATAACAGTTTCTTTTTTTCATTGATAATCTGTGTCTTCCGCTTTTTTCCTTGCCATACTGCGTTATATGGGGCCTCTGCTGCGGTGACTAGGAGTGGTGGCAGGGCATTCCTGTCCTGTTCCTGAGCCCGGGAGGGCAGCATTCAGTCTTTCCCTGTTAAGTCTGAAGTTAGGGTTGTTTTTTTTAGAAAAACATCATCTCTCTCTCTCTTCCTCCCTTCCTTCCCCTCTTCCTGCTCCCTTCCTCCCGCCCTTATGCCTTTTTGGCGTTTCTGGAGTTTTCATATAGACCCAAGTTTCAGTCTGGTATTATATTCCCTTCCTGTGAAAAATGCCCTTAAAGTTCTTGAGGTATATATCTAATATTGGTTGATTTTCTCAGCTTTTATGAGCCTGAAAATATATTTCAGTAATTGTCTTCCTTGTCGTACTTTAAAGATACTACTTTCCTGTCTTCCAGTTTGCATACTTTCTGGTGAGAAATGTGTGTCTTTGTTTGTCTGTATGTAGTGTATCTTTACGCATCTGGCTGCCTTTGGGATTTCCTCTTTATTTTTGGTTTTCAGCAGTTTGACTATGATGTGCCTAGGTGATTTTTTAAAACACATATACACCGCTGGGAGTGTACTAAATGAAATTCAAGCACTGTACGCCTATATACATACGTAAATATACATATACAAAGGTGTAAATCTCCTTGACATTGAAGAAGGCAATGGTTTCTTAAATACAGCAAAACAAGAGAACAGTAGATAAACTGGACTGCGCTTCACAGGACACCGAAAAAGCAAGAGGCTGGGAATTGAAATGTGGACAAGGCCTGCATGGTCCTGCTCTGTGGGGCTTGTGGTTCATGGGTTGGTGATAGGTCAGAACAAAGTAAATAAAATAATTACAAATCATGTGGTCAATGCTTGGAAGCAGACAAGCAGGATGCTGAGCTAGGGGAGGGTGTGTGGCCAGGGAAGGCCTTGGTGTGGGGCGTTTTATTCCTGACTCTGTATTTGATGCTTAGGATTAACCTGGTTTGCCCTGGAATGTTTATGTTTTTCATTTTGAAGATTCTGTTCTTACGATGTTGCTGGAGGTGTAAAGCATACTTTTCTTTTTAGAGAAAAAAACAGTTAATATTTTTTCCAATTTTATGAAAGAGGGACAGCCAGAGTTTTTCATTTGATTTTGTTTTTTCCTGCAAGGTTTTTTTCTCTGCAAGGTTTTTACAGTTCTCGATTTTCTCCTTTTAATTTGGAGAATAGACTACAGAAAACACTCTGCTTAGTGATTTTGGATTTTAGATGTTCTGTCATAATTAGATTTTATTATTGTAACATTAGAATGATCAAGTGGTATACCAATGATCATTAACATTTCATGATATGGTGGTCTGAGGTTTTTACCAGAGTTTACCAGAATATTAAGGCTGTACATTATTTTTCATATTTTAAAAGCAGGAACATGGTGATGTTTTCAAAAATATTTTAATTGCACCTTTAAAATCACAGCTAATAAAAATGTCTAACGTTCAAGATGGAAACCGTGTCCCTGTTTATTCTTCTAAATATTTTTGTAATGTAAATATAGACTATAGTATGGGTTCGGGGTGATGCTTTATGAAAATTATGTCCAATTTCATTCAGTGCAAGTATTTACCCAGTTTGATTTCTTCTTGATATTAGGTTAAGTGGGCCAGGGAAAATTATCACCATAACCTGGGCTCGCCATATTCCTTGCGCCTGGCTTCTGCTGATGTCCATGGAAAAATCATAGTTTGGGATGTGGCAGCAGGAGCGGCTCAGTGTGAGATCCAGGAACATGCCAAGCCTATTCAGGGTGAGGAAAGTCTGTGCCCTGCTGTTTGTGTTAATACGCTTACTCTTAGAGTGAGTTCCCCTCTCCCCTTCATATCATTTCATCACTTCCCAGGTAACTCTTGATTCTGTTCAGACTATTCTACTGATCTGAGTCTAGTTTTCTTTTTTCTTTTTTTAACCCTTATTATACTCCTGGGCATATTTCCTCATTTCTCAGTTGATCTGAGTTTTGGTAAAATGTATTCATTTCAACATCAGCCTTGGCCAAGCTTGATGAGAAAAATTAAGTTGCTATAGACAATCTTGTAAATTAAGCTAAAATATAAGTAAACTTGGCCAAACTGCTCTTTTGTATTAGCTCTCAGTACTTACTTTCTATTAATAGAGATGATCAAAATTTTTTTCTCCTATTTATATTGATCATTTGTTTGCTTATTTATTGACCTAAAACCAATACAGACTCTTTTTTTTGGGGTCTCAAGGCTTTGACTGAGTGGGTATTTTGAATGAGCGAAGTTTTAAATGACTGTTTAAAAAATATTTATTGTGTATTTACTGTGATCTAGGTACTGAACTAGATCTTTACCCTGTTTATCATTGTGGAAAAACATGAAATTACAAAGTCCCATTAAGTAATTCCACAGAAACATTGGGACAGTCTTTAACATAAAGTTTTCAGTATTGATTACTGCAAATAGCCTTGTATTTTTTTTTTTAATTTTGTTTATTTTTAGAGAGAGGGAAGGAAGGGAGAAAGAGAGGGAGAAAAGCATCCCAAATGTATGGTTGCCTCTCGAGCACCCCCTTCTGGGAACCTGGTCTGCAACCCAGTCATGTGCCCTGACTGGCGATCCTACCTGCGACCCTTTGGTTTGCAGGCCGGCACTCAATCCACTGAGCCACACCAGCCAGGGCGCCTTGTATTTTTTTTGAAGTAATATTTTGGATTACTTGCAAATTTTGACCTTGAGATTCTAATGTCCACAAAGCTCATTTTTATATAAAATTAACTTTTCCTCTGCAATCTTGACACACATGTGTAACTTGGAGGGGAGAAGGACAGATTTTAAGGATTACGTAAAAAAAACCCACCCAAAAAACACCAAACAACTAAATATCAAGAACATGTTATCCAAGTCCTTTTGCCGTGGATGACCTCTGAATTTTGTCACTCTCTGGCCTTTACAGACGTTCAGTGGTTATGGAGCCAAGATGCTTCCCGAGACTTACTGCTTGCCATCCACCCGCCAAATTACATCGTGCTCTGGAATGCAGACACTGGCACCAAGCTGTGGAAGAAGAGCTATGCGGACAACATCCTTTCTTTTTCTTTTGACCCTTTCGATCCCTCACATTTAACTTGTGAGTATTGGTTTCTTGTGGAACATAAGTTGAGGTGTTTATACATAGTTAACACTGTATACATAAGTTACGTACACATCATGGACGTGTCATGTTAAAACAACTGAGCCTCGTGGAGAAGCACATCTTTAAGTTCCTAGTTCAGCTCCTGCAGCTCCTAATACAGATAATAAATCATAACCTCCAGCTCCTAATACAGATACTAAATCATAGCCCATAGCATTGGCACGCATTTTGATACTTAGAAATTTGAATCAGCAAGCTGGACCTTCACTGTGTTGAATTTGTGAGTAGAATTAGATTAGCCAGGGAGAGAGAGTTGCTGTGCTATTCTAACTCAAACTTAATTAAATTTGGCTTTCTGGAACATTCAAAGAACCTAAGTTAAAGGTTTCATTTAATCTGGCCAAATTCAGTTTTTCCTTTCTAAAAGAAAATGTTCTAATTCATGCCATGTGTGTTGAGTGCCACAACCAGGTGCATGTGAGGAACAGATGAAGCCCAGCAGAGTTTTGTCTTGAAGAGGTTGTTTTTGCCAGTGTGCTTTTTTGATGCTTTACTGAGCTCTTCACCTAAAAATTAGGTGTGTTTTGAGACAGACATTTTTATGACTAAATTGTTTAGAAAATATTTTTATTGAATTATCCAACAGATGCTTCTTGAGCTAGTCCTCTATGTCAGGCGTGTTCTGGGACCTCGGCTCAATCAGTGACAAAGGACAAGGGTGCCTCCCTTGTCAAGTTTGCCTTCCCCTGTCAGGGAGTCAGATTCTGAACTCGGCGTGCAATGAATTAGTAAGTTCTAGTATAGTAAGAGGATGGAAGTGGCATTAGAAAGGTAAAACAGGACATAGGGAACAAAGGAGGATGGGGGGCTGGGAGAGCCGGCAGGTTGTTGAGTTAGCAGGCCACTGTGGCCACTCTGCTGTCATCATAGATGGAGAGAACAGCTCACTGCATCCTAAGGCTCGATCTGATGCTTGAGAAGAAAAAGGAAGTATGTTTAGACTGATGGCTCATGATAAACATAAAAAAATTCATATCATCAAGTCAAATATTTGAACGTTGTTAAGTGTGATATGCAGAGCTTACATACATAGGGGATTTTTTTTTCATATGTGTATTTTATATTTGGTAAAGTATTTAGATTTTGAAGTTACGGGATATAATGAGGGAAGGTTTTTAATGAAAGTCCATGCACTGAACTATTTGGAAGAACAAACATTTGTTCTTTCTGCCCGTAACCTTCTGGTATTTTTTTTAATATTAAACATTAATTTAGAATGCTTAGCTTGAAGGCCTCTGATGAATTACAATGGACCACCTGTTTCACTTCAACTTGGAGAACATTTCCTGCTATGTTACAACTGCATAACACTGCCAGTTTTATATTATTAAAATTATCATTACCTTGCTGTCAAAATTATAATGGAAAAAAACTGCTAAACCTGATTAAACTTTAATTAGTGGTCTGCTTCTCTCTATGTAGTACTCACCAGCGAGGGTATTGTGTTCATCTCAGACTTCTCCCCGTCCAAGCCTCCCTCAGGCCCTGGGAAAAAAGTCTACATATCCAGCCCACACTCGAGCCCAGCTCACAGCAAGCTGGCTGCAGCCACGGGGGCTAAAAAGGCCCTTAATAAAGTCAAAATCTTAATCACGCAGGAGAAACCTAGGTAAGTGACAAGTGTAAAACTAACAACAACATTTAACTATTTGTCATCTGTTCTTGAAAAAAAATAAATTTTGAACATGTACTAAGATTGATTTTCTTCTTCATTTTACCCTTCTTGTTTGTACTTTTGAGTTTCTAAGAGGAAAAATACCCGTTTCGTCGCCTCCCCTAAGGGGAGATGCAGCACTTAGCATGGCTCCTTTGCTTCCACTAGTTGGGCCAAACTTCCCCCATTGATTTTTTTATAGATTAAAAATTTTGACTTTGGATTTTTACTTTTGAAAATATGAGATGAACATTCTAACATTGCAGCTATTGAATATATTCCGAATATGAGGACAAAATCTGGATTTTCATTTGAAATACATTTTCCTGCCTTCAGTGCTGTGCAATCCCTTTAGTTGTAAAATATGGGTATTTTTCTTATGTGTGTAAAGATGTTTCTCATACTGGTAAGGGCCATAATATTAGGGGAAATTGAAGCTGTGTGACTCAGAAATTCTTTAATCTTGCTTAAATTTTACTCTCCCAGTCTCTAAAGTAGTGTTTTAAGGGATTTCATAGAGTTTCTGTAACTTAGATACTTAAGATAGTGGCTGATACTTGGTAAGAATTCGTTTGGTAAATGCTAGCTATTATTGTTCATATCAGAAATTGCAACTGAATAAAATTTTATATTAAGAAACTAATTTTAGGCATTAGAAATAGATTTCTTTCTTTTTCCTAGAGCCATGATTGTTCTTACATTTTTATTGCTTTGGCAGTTTTTTTTTGGCATCTGTTTTAAAAGAGCCTTTGCTCTTAATATGCTAAGTTTATTCTATCTAGACTTTCTGTAATTACCTGAAAAATATATGGTAAAATACAAATTGTTCTACAAATACATTTTGAATTTATATATAAACATCATTTTTATGTATTAACCATAGGCTGGTTAAGTTCACTACTTTATTCCCCACCCTGTGCCAAGATAATTTAAGATTGCTCTTTAAAGATCTTTTTCCCCTTTTTTTCCCCTTTCTCTTTTTATTTTTTTAAAATTTTTAAATTTAATCTTTATTTTTTCCCATTACTATGCTCCTTTAATATTTTAAGAGAACTTTCTATTTATTTTTCATTGATTCTTTCTCATAAATAAATAATTATTTTATAGTCTGAGTAGTTTTATAAGTTATGATTTATATATGTTACATTTTCTCTCATGTGAATCATACGTTCACCTTGAGTTTTGGGGGCGGTGAATTATTAATCCCGCCAAATAGAACTGCTCTGGGTATTTTCACTTACATTATTACGTATAATCTTGCTAAAGTCTGGGGTGGTAGTACCGGTCCCATTTTATAAATGAGGAAATTGTGCCTCACTTTGTTTTAAATGTTACTCAACTTACCCAAACAGGAAACGGCAGAGTCAGGACTTTAATGCAGTCTGCACCCCTCTCTCTAGTCCTCTAATCTAACTTTATGTTAAAGTTCAAAACCTTTTAGTAGATAATATTATGTAAAAAATAGAACATAATTGTATGTCCATTCCTGTTGAAATATATTTATTATAAAAAGGTTGTGATGAAATAGATGCAATAATCACAACTTACTAAAATGATTTTTGAGATTCTAACAATCTTTTACAATTCTCATATAGCTTTATATATTTTATTTACACAGAAAAAAATACTACGATAGGTGAGTAAAATACCCCACTTTGTTTGCAAAGAGGCTTCAGACAGCTTAAACGGAAATGAAGGCGGGGTAGCGGGAGCGACTTGCGAAAGGCTGTACAGAGAGCCCTTTGACTCGTGACCCGGTGGCCCTCCGTCCCTTACACGTCTGACTTTAGTCCCAAGTCTTGATTTCAGGAGTCTGTTCAGTATTTCCAATTGCAAAATAAAAATAAAATGACTATCCTATGAAAGTCCAGTATATCATAGACTTGTCATTTTATCTTATTCATAGTCTTACTCTTACTATTTTACTTTAAATTTTTCAAAAATTTAGGAGCACCATATCACTCAGCATGTACAATATTATTGCCATAGTTTGGGGTTTGGCACGTAGTAGAGGTCTGAGTGTTAGATAGTAGACCTCGTTTGTCATTTCATAAATAGTTGTGCATTCTCATTGACTTTTTTTATGTGGGAAGTTCAAAATTCAATTCTTTATTATTTTTTTCTGATACGAATACAATCTTTGACTCATTTCTCAATGCCTGACATAAATGTTTGCTTTTTTCAGTGCTGAATTCATAACTCTCAATGATTGCCTTCAGTTGGCATACCTGCCTTCCAAAAGGAACCACATGTTGTTACTCTATCCTCGAGAGATTTTAATCCTCGACCTTGAGGTGAATCAGACAGTGGGTGTGATTGCAATAGAACGAACAGGAGTTCCATTTCTGCAGGTAGCAACAACTTATAAATTCCATCCCCAGAAGTTGATTGTGAATGTTACATAGAGAAAAAGTATAATCATGCAAAAGTCCTTAGTTCAACTTTCTCTTTTCTCTTTATTTTAAAATTAACAATGTTATTTTATATTTCTTTTATTTATTTATTTTTTTTACACTCTTGATTGCTTTGATTTACCCTAGAAATTTTTCTGACTGATCTGGAGATGTTTACCGAACTACTGAAGTGACATGGATAAAAAAGAATTTTTTTAAAATTATAAATGGGTTTTTTAAATGTTTATTTAGTTTTAAAACTTGGGGATTGTGTGATATATTTTTATTTTTTTGTTTTGTCTTTTTTGCCGATATTCTCAAACATGAGCATATGAGTTTCACAGTATATACTCTTTAAAAATAAATGAATCATCTCTTTGAAGGTAATACCCTGCTTTCAACGTGATGGTTTATTTTGCCTACACGAAAATGGCTGTATAACTTTACGTGTTCGAAGATCTTATAATAGTATTTTCAACACTTCAAATGAGGAATTAGGTGAGTTTATGTCTCACAATAATTTAATTATGTTTTCTTCAGAAATATTTTATAAAACAAAGACCAGCCAGATAATAGAGTCAATGGTAATCCTGGCTTTGAGAAAGTAGAATATTGTTATAAAATGGGGCATAAAAAAAAACACAAGCGCAAGAATAATCTCTTGGTGTTATCATAGTACCCCTCCTGTATACAACAAAGAAAAAAATATGTTGTAATTCCTTCTGGATTATTTCCAGGGGCCAAGTAGGTGTTATCTTCTGTGAATTTTTCTTTAGTACAAGCCCAACCTTATATGTGCATTTAGTCTTATGCCTCCTTGACTTTTCCTCTGCCTTAGGAATTTACACTGTAAAGTGACAGGTAAATAAGCCTCCAGGTGGTTCAGTTGTTGTTGTCAATCTTATCCTGGAGAATAGAAGTCATATTTTGTGAAATAAAATGTACTAGTAGAGTTGAAAGTGACTTTAACATCTTCCATAAAATACAATTATTTTCAGGCTTTCTATAGACCACTATGAACTATGCTGTTCATTATTTAAAGCATTTACTTTATTTTAGAAATGTTAAAAAACAAGCTATCTTGATTATATTCAATAGATGTTATTTTGGAAATTAAACTTGGTGCAGACAATCATTAAGGTAATTATCTTTATATTCTGAAGAAATTAATAATAATTGTAGAAAGGGCAGCCACTCTTGACAGATTTTCCATTAGTGAAGGAATGCTAGCCTTTTCAGTTGAGGTTTTATTTAAAGTAAAAGAACTGTTAGTGATGTCGGTATGGTTGCTTTCTGATACTGAAAAGAAAACAATACTATGTTAAGATCCAGATCCTGTCCAGGAGCTTACCTATGATTTACGAAGCCAGTGTGACGCCATCAGGGTGACCAAAACTGTCCGTCCCTTCAGTATGGTGTGCTGTCCCGTCAACGAGAATGCGGCTGCCCTCATAGTGAGCGACGGAAGGGTCATGATCTGGGAACTGAAGAGTGCCGTTTGTAATCGAAGTTCACGGAGCAGGTGCGTCAGTCAGTGGGATCGTTTTTAAAGTGATAATGAAGGCGTTAGGTTATCAGAGAATTATGTAAACCTGCTGAAGATATTTCACCTTTGCATAAGAAAATAGATAGAATGCCGTGATCTGAAATTAGTAATTTGTTAGTTACTCCCTTGTGAGGCAGACTTGAAATATGTGGAAACTGCCGCATTGTTCGGTCTTTGCAGCAGCTCCGGTGTGTCGCCTTTGTATTCCCCCGTGTCTTTCTGTGGAATTCCTGTGGGCGTGCTACAGAAGAGGCTCCCGGACCTCTCCTTAGACAACATGATTGGTGAGCTTCTCTTTTCTTCTCTAACTTTCACATTAGGTATTCTTTCTGAAGGGCAGAAATTGATACAGTCACTGATTTGCGACGATTATAAAGTCACAGTTAACACTTGAGAAAACTAAGATGTAGAGAGCACAGAGCCCTGTACATCCTAGATATGCAGTAAATATTTATTGAAGGAATAATGAAGTAACTGAGCAATATCAGAAAGGATTATTTTAACTTTTTGACATACATTGTCTTGTTTACATGTTGGTGATTCTTACTCTCAACAAATATTAATTTGCAGATAAAATATTGCTTCCAACGTGTTTAATTATTATCAGGCCAGTGTATATTAAAGGAAGAATGAAGATTTGTGATTTCTAATATTATACAACTAGAAATTATAAATATGCCAAACAGTTTTTATTTCTAATTCTTTTGAAATTGTTGCTGTGGTTTATAAAGGATTGTTTTGTATCATTATTTGTTCTCCCATAATGTAATTGAAAATTGGTATTATTTAGTAGGTTGTTTTGTTTAAATGGTTGATAGATGATACATAAGGAAGAGCTATTAATCTTCTTAATCAGGGATGACATTTATTGAGTCCTTATTACTGTGTTCAGTGCTGAGCTAAATACTCTGAATGGTACCTCACACAGTCCTACAAGATATATAATCTTATTTCCATTTTATGTTTGTGGGAACTGAGACCTAGAGAGAATTTTTTAAAAACTTGCTCAAAACCACACAACCAGTAAGTGGAAGAGCCAGAATGTGAACCTCTTCACCCCAGGCTGGAGCCTGCTCCTGGACCTTGGCTACCAGCCCTGGCTGCTCCCCTGGGATCTTAGGCAAGGCCTGACCTTACCAGGCCTTGGTTTTCTCATGATTCCTGTAAGTTGTAAAATCCTTCTGCTCAATGACACTAACTTTTATATTTAAAATTCTTTCTCCTTGCCTCCCAGACATAAATCCACATAAGGAAGTTTAGACACATACTTGTTCTGCAGAATGCATCTTATCAGTAACCCAATTTTTGGAGTTAATTGAGCTTGTCTGCACTTGATAAAAATATTAAATTGAAAAGAATTACAAACACACACAAGCACAGAACTAATCAGTAATATGAAACATTGAAATTTTATGCTGTTTAGATATCTAAGTAAAATAAATTACATTTGTTTTAAAGATTTTTAAAATTTATTTTTAGAGAGAGGGGAGGGGAGGGAGAAAGGGAGGCAAACATTGATATGCGAGAGAATCATCAATAGGCTGCCTTCTGCACGCCCCCAACTAGAGACCTGGCCTGAAACCCAGGCACGTGCCCTGACCAGGAGTTGAACCAGTGACCTTTTGGTTCACAGGCCCATGCTCAGTCCACTGAGCCATACCAGCCAGGGCTAAATTACATTTTTTAAGAGACAAAAGGCTATAGATTGTTTAACAGCTCTTGACAATGTAGTTGGTTCAAAAGTATTATACAAATAAAGCTTTGTTACTTGAAAACAGTTTAATTAAAACTTTTAATTTGAAATTCAATGTGTATTTAGCGGTAATTCAGTTAAATACAGAGTCCTGATTTATAACGGTGTTCCTTGGGTAAAGGCTGCTGCTTATTAAGGCCTAATCTGCCTTCCCTGTGAGTTGCCTCTGTGGAAGATGCTTGAACAAAATATGGCAGTTCTCAGGAATCAACTCTTAAGATACTGAGGGTTGGTAAACATGTACCTACCTGTTGAATTCCCCATTCCTTTAGACTCCATCTTTTGTAACCAAAGATTGATGTTAACTGCAGGACTGATCTGAAGGGATCATTTTATTTGCATTAAATTGATGGCCTTTTTTTCCCTGTATATCTTATGGATTTTAAAATAACTTTAGAGCCTCAAAAGATTATATTCAGAGTCTCATCACCCATTCCTAGTAATTATTTACACTTTGCCCTTTGTATATTTGTGTGTTTATACATTATATACACTCATGTATTCTTTCTTATGTATTTTTTGGCAATTTAACCCCAGTAGTCAAAAGTGATTTATAGGAAGAAAAATTGTATACCCTTATTAGTAGATGGTGTTGATTTTGTTGTACTCTTCATATTTCCATTTTGTTACATTGGTTTTTATTGGAGTCATCTTTTTAGTTTGAGACTTGATAACTAAGTATGAGTGTTATATCTGGAAGATATGCCATTTAATACTTAACCTTTGACAGTTACAGGTTATATGTGATATATAAGTTTACATATTTACATATAAAATATTTAATTATAAAGCTTAAATTTTATAATTGTATGAACACAGTAGGATTTCTTCTTAGAAATCTAAATGAATTCTTGGACCTGTTGTTTGTGATTGCCAATTCTGTGTGCACTTTACGAAGCACATCGATTAAAAGTAATGCTTTCGAAAGTGATGCAGCGTCCCACTCCACGGAAACTGCCCTCTGACCGAAGTCCTCTTGCTTTGCCTTTGGTGCCCTAATGCCAGGAACTTTGGCTGAAACAGTGTTTCTTAGAAGACAAAGGTTAGCCGTTCTGGGGAGCAGCAGTCTGGGGTAATCTATCTTTTGAGATGTCAGGCAACACAATGCAAGTCCCGTAGCCAAGTCCAGGGCCGTTGTATAGCTACAGCCCCTGACTTGCAACATCACACCCTCTTGACCCGAATATACTTTCCTGGGCCTGAAGAGTATTTCCACTGAAAGTGTTTTGGATTTTGAAGATGAGCATCCATTATAATGGATACGTTGGTATTTTTGATTGCCAACCAGGGCAAAGCGCAGTCGCTGGGGAAGAGCAGGCCCCGGGCCCCGCCCTGCAGGAAGTGCACCTCAGGTTCTTGCTCACGGGGCTGCTGTCGGGGCTGCCCGCGCCGCAGTTCGCTGTCCGCATGTGTCCGCCGCTGACCACGAAGAACATCAAGCTGTACCAGCCCCTGCTCGCTGTCGGTGAGTGCTGGGCCTGTTCTTGAAAAATTCTTCCTTCATGTTTTACGTTTTATAAGACTTGTAACTTTGCTAATTACTAGAAAATTCTTTTTAAGAATAAAGAGGAAGAGGCTAAGTGAAGCCATGTAATACTCCTCTTAAAATATTTTTCTGTTCTGTCCTTTGAGTCTACCGATCTTTTTATTTATTTATTTTAAATCACAATGCTAATTTTTAAATGATAATTAAAATTTTTAACGCTCCCAAGGTCTGTAAACAGGTGATTTGTGATAGTTTTTATCTAAAATGAAAACCCAACCACATTTATTTTGTTGCTGGTATGTCTGAGTTATGCTAGTATATCAGCATAATGGCTGACTTGTGAGAACTAAAGGCTCATTTGAATATTACTATATAACAATATTCCTTTTCTCCATTTTTTCATTACTATTTTCTGAAGGTGATTTGAATTTTAATGTTCAATAGTCCATGTGTACATAGGGACTAAATAGTAATAATCATGTGTTCAGATTTATATAAAATCAAATAAATGTTTAATTTTTGCTATAGAATCTACCAATTCATATTAAACCTCTTAAGGAGATTTTAATTAGGATTTGCCAATGCACAAAATTTGTTCAAGGTCAATTAGGATTCTCTCAGTTTCTGGGAAAAAATTATTTCTTGGGATAGCTACATAATGAGAGCTAAGTCAGGATCTGAGATTTCTTTTGTAGGATAAACTGTATTGTACTGGTATATAATGAGTATCAAGTCATTTATTGAATTTAGTATAATAACAAAGTAAAACCAAAAAATATAAAATGCATGTGCTCAGAGTCACTAGGGAAGAGGAGCAGAGTTCATCTGTGGAATTGCTGCTTCTCCTTGGGGTCACCCTCGAGTACAGGATCACAGGCTCTACGTCAGCAAAACTTGCAGAATGTAGTACTTATTTGATTATTAAGAAGAGCAGTTAGCTGAAAAGTTTTAGTAATTCTTTAGATATATTCTCAGTAATAGAGAGCATTATTGTGGCACAGATGATAAAAGGAAACAAGTGTAATACTGTGATTTTCTAGAACAGTTTTACAAAGTATTTCTGAAGCTTTATTCAACAAGGAAGCTAAAATTGAAATTTGCCTACCATTTTTACTTTTATTATTATTATCATTATATTTTATTGTTATTTCTACGTTTATTGCACTTTATATAATCCATTAATCGCTTTAAGTCATGTACAGTGAGAAACTGATCATTTGACATATTATACTGGTCACTTGTTTAATTTACAAAAACAGTTTAAGGTTTGAAACATTGCTTTCTCAAGTATGGCCACATCCCTTCTAATTAAATTTTAGACACACTACCTGAGATCATAAGCATTAGGCAAAACCATAATTACAGTAGTAACTGAAATAGTAATAATCATATACTTACTTTGTGTCAGATGCTGTACTAAGTGTTTTATGTCTGTTCTCATTTAGTCTCCAACAGATAGACTTTCTATTATACCCATGTTTAAAGGATGAAAACCACATATTTAGTGTGGTCCCGTAAGAGTTTAGGGCAGAACCGGGGCTTGAACTCAGGCTTCTTTGACTGCAAAAATCCACAGTTAACCATTATCCTATACCATCTCTTTGTGATTTATTTAATATAAAAGATAAAACCAAACCAAAATCTTTATTTAAAAAAAACAGAAAAATCTGGTCAGTGAGTTCTGCTAGGAGTCCTTTTTGAAGACTAGTTACAATCAACATTGCAAATTTCAAGAAGTATAAATTCTCATGTGTAAAAATGCTTAGGAAAGTGCCTTTTCAAATTTTACGTGTTGAGTTAGGATTTGAAATTTTTTGTGAAAATCTATCCTTTGACCTACATATGATTTCAGAGCATGTGCGATCAGGCCCATTTTTTATGAGGGATAGCAGAGAATTTTGGTATTTTTTTAATCACATAGCTTTGGTCCCTTTTATAAGAGATAAATGTAAAATGATTAAAATCCCGAGAAAAGGTGGTGTTGGAAACATCGGGAGCTCCTCCGACACATACTCTCACGTCGTTCCGCAGGTACAAGCAACGGCTCTGTCCTGGTGTACCATCTCGCCAGCGGGCTGCTGCACAAGGAGCTGAGCGTCCACTCGTGTGACGTCAGGTGAGTATGTCATCCTGTCATTGACATGGACATCGCAAACCCACATGCTATTAGGGAGGCGTTCGCATAGACTTTGCTACATTGAATACTCCGCAGTGGTGACTATTCTACTGAAAGCGGAATAATAAACACCCATGTCCTACTAATGGCTGTGCTAATCAAGGATGATACTGATTGTTTGCTCTTTGTAAAGGGCATTATGCAGTAGAGAATTTTTTCTCATTATTGCTGTATCTTAATTGGTTTCTTCTAAGATTCAGGCTATTTCTGGAAATTGTTGTGTTTCCTTGTTCAGGTTTATTTAGTTGGTTTTTCATTTCTATAAAGATCCCTCTATCGGACTGCTTATCAAAATTGAATACAGTCATTTTAATAATTAATCTCATTTATTTCTTTGTTTAAGCACCATCAGAAAAGGACCAAACCTGTCTAGCATTTGTTTTTTCATTTTCAGATGTGATCTGTCTAATGACTATGCAGAGATGCGACGGGGGGTGGGGGCGGGGGGCCGGGGGGGCTGAAATGAGAGGAACGCCTCTTCCTTTCCGTTGTGAAGCGCATGCACGTCTTCTCCAGGGGCTTAATTTTATTGACTGTATGGCTGTTATCCTTTTTAGGCCCAAGCAAGGATGGACTGTGAAGTTGCACATGTATAATATAAAGTTATTAAATTGCCAGTATTTTTTGATGATCTTTTAACAAAAGTGTAAGAAAGGCCATTTTCTGTCCTCTGCACATTATATAAGTATAAGTCCCATGTATATGTTACAGTTCTTAGTGAACCGTTAAAGAGCACCATATCCTTGAGTAAATGCACCGTCTGAATGGGCCAGGGTTAACCCTTTAAGAATCACGCTTGTGACTGGGATGGAAGTCTCCGAAGGGTTTACATGGCCTTGTTCTTTCAGGTGTGCTGTTCCGTGGCGCAGCCCGGTGGCAGTTTATCCCCACCTCCGCTGGGCCCCTTCAGTATCTCCCTCAGCGCTCTCACGTGGAGCAGTGTCTCCAGAAGTGTTGGGCTCGCGAAGTACAGCAACACAGTCTGTTCCTCTTCTTGTTCCTTCCGGTAGCCCCTGCTGTCACTGCTGCTGCTGCCTCCCTTCCTTCCTTCCCTGTCTGCATTTCTTTTCTTGACAGTTCCGCTCACCCTTGCCTTTTGTGTGCAGTGTTGCCTCTCCTGGCTCACACCAGCCAATCAGAACCCTCCCTTTAAGCAGTACTTGTTCTAAGGATTATGCTAAGTATTAACACTTCGCACACATCATTTCACTGAATCTCCACTACAGTTTGTGCAGTAGGCACTGTGATTATTACCAATTTACAGAAGAAGAAACTGAGTATTGTAATCTCAAAACTTAGCAGAATTCAGTCAAGGCCTTTTAGACTTTAAAATTGAGCTCTTATACTTACGGTAGATGCACATAGATTAGTAGGAAACATTTCGTCAATAAGATAAAAATTTAAGCCAGATTCATGTTACGAATTTGGTACATGCTTCTGGAAAATCAAGCACATTTTAATTTTTTCTGAACACTGAAATTTTTAATAAAGACACAGGAGCTGGTTTATCTGTGAGCTATTCATTTCTTTTTTCTTTTTTTTTTAATCGGGGTGACATCGGTCAATAGGATCATGTAGGTTTAAAGTGTACAATTCTGTGAAACATGATCTGAATATTGTATTGTGTTTGCACCACCCAAAGTTGAATCTTACATTTCTGAAAGCGAGGGTTCTTGCCCTGGCTGAGTTAGGTCATGCACATGACTCACACATGCTGTGATGGTATTTGTTACTGAGCGACACTGGAAGTCTCTGTAAATTGTTACATAGGACGCCGAATAACTCTAAGGGATACACTCGTCAGACAGGCTGGTGTGGATGAACACACAGATATGCTCCCTTTTTTTATATGAATTTTCCCTCTTAATTGCCATTTCGAAGATAATTCACCTTTTATATTCAGAGGTGGCACCCAAGAAGATGCGAAAATCCTGCTGTCCTCATATCTCAGTTAATGCAATTATGGTATTATAATGAAAAGCCATTGTGAAAATTTCACAGATGTGTTATGAAAACTGCTGAACTTATTAGCAGTAAACCCGAGACGTTCTAGATATTCACATGCATATTAAAGGCCAAGTTTTAGAAAGTTGTTTTTCTACCTTGTACTAAATGTGCTGTTTAAAACCACTTATTTTTAAGTGCTTAAATCTTATGCATGCACATGGTCAGGACTGCCTAGCTGCAAACAGTTGCATCTGTTATGGTTTTTTAAAACCATGATGTTTTAACCAGTTAGGCTTTATAAATAAATATTGAGCGGCTTCTGTATGCCTGCATACAGACATCTTTAAGTCTTGTTACGTGTTGGAAGGAAGTAGATGAAGTACAGTGGTACATGTAGGTTTTCTTAGATTATTAGTTGGTGTCTTTGTCCAGTAGACTAGGTTTATAATAATGTAGCCCAATACTATTTTCAATATTGGGAACTATTAGAGCAGTAGTTTATATGGGTATGAGAACATTGATTGGTAAGTATTGTTTTGAGTAAATGGAGTGATTGCGGAAAGAAAATGATCTCTATTTTGTCTGTCCATAAATTTGCAGAAGTTAGTTTTATGTAATCCTAGAACTTGAAGGCCTCTCAGAAAGTGTGTGTCCCCCAGCCACCCACGGTTGAGAAGTAGATCCTGTAGCGTCCCCAGCGGAGGTGAGTAGGCCCAGCTTGGGAACCTGTAGGAGGCAGAAGCTCACATACCCACTGATAAAGTGACAGTTGTTCAATAGTTAGAAATCCTACAAAACAAACCTAGATTGAGTCAGAAAGTGAGCTGCTGTTCTTATGAGGTTTTTTTTTTTCTTTTGTACAGCTCAGTGCATAGTTTAAACCTAAACAATAGTTTTCTAATCCTTAGAGCACTGTGGTGCTTAGCTGTGTTGGACAAGAGCTTCCTTCTTTTTCTTTTGAGAAATAATCCCCTCCATATCTAATCTACTTTGAAGTCCAACTTGATTTTTATTTTCTTCAGTTAATCAGTACGTATCAGATGGATATACAAGCTGCTGCTGGAATCTGCTCAAAGACGACATGCTCACAGAGCTAGAATACAAATAAGTAGGCACCCCATGTTCTGTTATATTCTGAACACTGGGACATCTTATAAACAATAAGAATAGCATTTCTTGAATATGTATGGCACCAGTAAACATAGGAAAGAATGCTAGGCTTTTCTCAAACATCGTTTATTTAATCTAAGAATTTACTGAGTGCCTGTCATGTGCCTGACAACACGTAATGTGGTACTTCCCTTCAAAGAGAGCCCTGGCTGGTGTTGCTTAGTGGATTGAGCACCGGGCTGTGAACCAAAGGGTTGCTGGTTCGATTCCCAGTCGGGGCACATGCCTGGGTTGTGAGCCAGGTTCCCAGTTGGGGGTGCGCAAGAGGCAACCACACATTGCTGTTTCTATCCCTCTCTTTCTCTTTCCCTTCCCGTCTCTCTAAAATTAAATAAATAAGTCCTTTTTTTTTTTAAAGAGAGTATACTCTATCTAGTGCGTTGTTTCTGAGCCACTCCCATTGTTTCCTTAGTTGTTCAAGCTTTCAGGCAAAACCCTATTTGCCCTTTGGGACTCAGCATCAGTGGTTCTCCTGGAAGCCTTGCCTGGCCCCTGAGATAAGATTTCATTTGACTCTTGTAAGCTCCTGTTGAACTCTGCACCATGCTCTTTTGTAATAGGTAATACAGAATACACTAGTATTTTGCTAGATCATAAACTCCAGGACAGCGATTATATTCATCTTATCCACAGCTGTATTCCCAGTGCCTACCACAGTCACTGGCATCACTGGGTACTTGACAGGTATATTTTTGAAAATAAGGACTTGAGAATGAGAGGACTGGAATTGTCAGTGTTGGGGGACAGTGGCATTGCTACTATATTGGAGCATTAAGTAGTTCCGACCGCCAGCAACAAGACCTGGAGAGTGAGCGTGTCTTCAGGTTTCTGTGGTCTTAAGGTTTCTTTCTTTTTAAGATTTTGCTTATTTATTTTTAGAGAGAGGGGAAGGGAGGGAGTAAGAGGAAGAGAAACAATACAATTGTATTGTTTTCTTGCCATTGGTTTCCTCTTGTATGCGCCTGAAACCGCAACCCAGGCATATCCCTGGCTGGGAATTGAACCGGCGACCTTCTGCTTTGCAGGGTGATGCCCAACCAATTGAGCCACACCCGTCAGGGCTGTGGTCTTAAGGTTTCTAAATGTCTGATTGAAGCTATCAGGTTTATAGAAAGAGCAGAATAAGTGTAACATGATTTTTCTGCCCTTTTGTTCACTCTGAGTAGAAAACTTCATGAGTACTGTTCCATGTTAGGGGAAAGAGAAACAAGAGACAAGGGACTTTTCCAGTGAATAATTAACCAAATTATATTGTGTTCACTCTAGATGCGGTCTGAGTTGAGCAAACAGGGAGCCTCACAAAGAAGACAGAGCTTGAGTTAGAGTGTGACATAGCGCGATCGCAGTACCGATGGTGATTGCTGTCAGGGCAGCACTTCCTCCGCGGCCGGCCTTCCTTGTCGCTCAGCGTTGTCATTCTGGCACAACAGAGGAAGAGGCAGAGGAAGGGAGACCAGCTGGAGCCAGGTCTTGCCCTCAGATAGCAATTGAAAAGGGAAAGACAGAGGTCATTGCAGGCTTGGGAATTCTCAAGAGCACTCGTTTTAAGCAGCCTAAGCTGAGTGTTTCAACAGTTTTACATTTAAAGAACTATAATCCTGGATAACTACAGCAATTCCCTGCTATCACAAATATTATTTTCAGTTTGCCTGGGCTTGTCTTTGCCCCCTTGAGAAAGGACAGGTAGATGGATACACAAGGGTTGGTGAGGACGGTGATAAATAGCAGACAAGATTCAGATGATTGAGTGGTGTGGTCAGGTGGGATGAGGCAGATGGCCCTGTGGCTTTGAAAAGCGTACAGAGGGGTTTGGATGTGATGCAGGAAGCCAGCCATTGTGCCTTCTCGGGCAAGCAAGGGACGTGGTCAGGATGGCATTTAAAGCTAAATCTAGCAATTGCATTCAAACTGGAGTAAAAGTGGACAAAGTAGATGAGGGGTTGGCAGACATTTTCTGTAAAGGACTAGGTAGTAAGTACTTCAGGCCTTGCCAGCCAAAGCATTGCTCTCACAACTATTCAGCTCCGCCCTTGTATCGTGAAAGCAGCCATAGACGCTTGTTAACAATGGCTGTCCCGTAGACACTGATGGGCACCTCCGGGGAGAAGAGAGGTTTCGGTTTCCCTCCCAGCCAGCCTCTGTTGCCCTGTAAGCGATGCAGGGTAGTAGTGCAGCGTTTCTCACTTATTCTTACGGCTCTGATGACCACTTGTCCTTTGTGCCGTCCCTTTTCATTCTCTGCAGGCCATGATGGTGGACGCTCTCCAGTTACGTTGGTGGGAAAAACATGGGCTCTCCTCCCACTGCTCCCATACAAGGAGACCCCAGGACATTAGGTTGATAGGTTACTGTCTTGTCATTGGGTCTTTCTTTCTTTCTTTTTTTTTTTTTTTTTGAGATTTTTCTCTTCTGCTTTTCTCTAATTGAGATACCATTTGAAACTTTCAACCACTTCCAAATCTTACAACTCAGTTCATATTGTTTGCTTCAGGAATATCTGCTTCCTAACCAAGAAGTTTGATAAAATTTGATGAAGTTCCTAAGTGTACGCAACTTTAGGAAGTCTGCTTAGAATATTTCTATACCATTTAGTTTTAAGCAGTGGGATTCTCAGAAACTACTGTGATGTGATGCTCTCCTTCACCAGATTTTATTTTAATGTTGCTATGAAGCCTGATAACTAAACTCTCTTGTCATTATCGGAGATAAAGTTTAAACTATAAATAATTTCATATAGCTTGAAAGTATATGGTAATGCAGTCTCAAATAAAAGGTCATATTAATATTACTTCTTAATTAAGTTGTAATATTAGGAAAACTTATTTAGGAAAACTTAATTAGGAAAAACTTATTATTCAAATTTTTCAAACTAAAAGAGTATTAACCTTTGTTCAATATCTCATTATAGGGGTATTGAATGGACAAGTTTGACTGGTTTTCTTTCTTTTGCTACCTCAACACCAAATAATGTGGGATTAGTGAGAAATGAACTTCAGCTGGTTGATCTTCCAACAGGTTTGTGTATTAAGACTCTTGAAAGATTTAAAATGATTTTTCATATTGATCAAAAACATTGTCATTTATAAACATGTTCTAAAGTACTTTCTTTAACCTTGGAGTTTTTTTTCTTTTATTCTATGTTTATGTATTGTGTATTCTATGTGTAATAGGTGTCCTAGAAAGGACTCATTATTATTTGTATACAAATTGTGTTAACACAAATGGGTGGTAAAATGGAGTACCATTGGCCTGGACAGACAGATTCAGAAATAAATAGGGTATCAGTTCTTCTTTTATATACATTGTTGTGGACAACTGAAAGTGCAATTTAAAAAATAAGTCTTTGTAGTTCAACTTTATGAGATTCTATTTTAAAATTTTGGACTTTATAGGAATCCCTTAAGAAACTTATAAGTAAGGACTATTTTTAAATGCTCAAATTTGAAACTTTTGATGGTCTTTGGGTGACTGAATAGGGAGATTTAATTTGAGAGTTTAAAAGACTTTACACTCAGAAACTTCCTGTAAAGTAACTTGTTCAGAAGTGTTAAAAACTTACAGCCCAAAGAGTTTTAAAGTGAAAAACTTGAAAATAGAATAAGGTGAGGAGTTCAAATTATTTTATAACACATGCATTAATTTCAAATAAATGTTTTTTACAAAAACATGGTTTTTTAAAAATGGCGTAGCAACATGAATCTATGTAGATGGTTTTAACCAGTAAGATGCGTGTGTGTGTGTAATAAATCAAATATATTGTTGCTTCTTTCCATTCTCAATGTGTGTTTCCAAGATATACCTGAGAGTGACGAACAAGCGTCTGTCTCAGAGCGCGTTGCTGCCCCTCCAGGGCTCGGCCCCACCGCGTAGGCCGGCGGCGCTCCCCTGCCACTGGACGTGCTGTCTGTCCCCGACCCCCAGTTTGCCAGCAAACGGCACTGGTGTTGCTAGTTGCATGGCAGCCCCGGGATGAAATGGTGTCCTCTGGTGTCATTTACAAAAAAACCAAAAAAACCAAAAACTTTTTTTTTTTATCAGCTCAAGCTCTGGACTTTTAGATAAATCTTTTATAATCTCTTTTTGAGGAACAGACATCAAAGCAATGTCACTGAGTCTTTGAGTGGGACAGGAGCGCACAGAGGATACTCTCCAGAGCCGTGGCCTCTCGGGAGGGCCGCTGCCCGCAGGGCCAGGGCGGGCGTGGGGCGCTTGGCGCGTGACCGAGGGGCTGCGGCGAGGCTCCCCTGAGGGCGCCGGGGGCGGTGGGTGGGGGGTTGGCGCTCCGCTCATCAGTGTGAGTGAAAGCCCAGGGAAACATGTGAAAACGCATTTTTCAGACATGAGGTAGAATTTGCATTTTTTTAATTAGAGAAAATAATTTAGTTTCTTTGGCGGTTAACTGATCCGTATCATTCCCCAATTTTAGTTTGCAGAGAACTTTTGATAGGAATGTAGCAAAATACCTTAGTTGAGTATTTTGCACATAGGACAAGAAATCATAAGTATCTGTTAGAGCATTTTCCCCACTCGTTAGTATTTGTAAGCATGGGAATGTTTATATTACTTTAAATGTACCAGTAGTTTTTACAGTCACAATTGTTCTCCCATAAATGCATTCAAACTTTAGAAATTTATATTTCTAAATTTCTAAAATTAAATTATTTGGAAGAAACCACAGAAGAAATTCAAGAAGCTCTGTAACAAGTGAAAATATCTTTTTATAAAATAGATATTTAAATATAAGTAATATATTATTATTCTTTAACTTGTAAATACTTTTGACAATACTTTTTGAATTTTGATTATTGGAAGCAAAGAGAAGAATCCATGGGAAAGTAGAGAGTTGCACAGATCAAATTATGTTGGTATAGCTTCTCATTTCTTACATGGTTTATGTGCTGTTTTTTCACATTTTCCTTAATGTTTGCAATTACAGGTAGGAGCATTGCTTTTCGAGGTGAACGTGGCAATGATGAATCGCCCATCGAAATGATTAAAGTATCTCATTTGAAGTAAGTGTCAACCTAAAAACTATGGTGTTATTACAGTGGAATCTCAAGGATTCATTTTTCATCTTTAAGAAAATGAGAATATGCTAAAATTTATATAAAATTTCTTAAATGTTAGCAAATGGTGATATGCGGTCACATCAGAGAAAATAATTTGCCCTGACTTGTGTGGCTCAGTTGGTTGAGCATTGTCCTGAAAAGTGAAAGGTCTCTGGTTTGACTCCCGGTCAGGGCACATACCTGGGTTGTGAGCTAGGTCCCCCGGTTGGGGCACATGCAAAAGGCAACCAATTAATGTTTCTCTTCCATTCTTTCTCCCTCCCTGCCCCTCTCTCTAAAAATAAATACATAAAATATTTTTTTAAAAGAAGAGAATTTTATCATAAAATTAAGTTGCTACCTCTTTCAGTTCTCCACTTCTACAAAGATGAGGTAACTTGCATAGATCTTACCTCATTAGATTGGGAAAACCAATAATCCTGTTTTGTTCTATAGCAATATTGATATAAATTCTATCACCCACTAAGAAAATGTTACTTGTTAAATGATGAAATTCTCATGTACTTCCACCTCAGCATGGGTTTATAAAGTGAAATAATTCATTTTATTTATTTATAATTACTGCTCATTTTAAGTATAGGAAGTTTTTGAGGTTTTGTTCTAAGGGAATATACATGTAAGGCAGGGTTATTAAAAATAAAAAATAAATGAAAACCAATCAAAAGATCAAAGAAGTAGTAAGCTCTTTAAAATAGTTTTCAAAATCACTTTACCTTTTCTAGGATCTTTGCATTTCCATATAAAATATAGTTTATCAGTTTGACCAAAAAAGCATTGAATCTGTAGATCACTGTTGGGAAGAATTGATATCTTAAGCCTTGTGATTCATGAACATGGTATATCCCTCTACTTAGGGCTTCTTTAATTTCTTTCAAAAATCTTTTGTAGTTTTCAGTGTATATGTTTTACAAAATCATTTGTTAATTTTTTTGTTTTTTTCCTATGATGCTGTTATACACAGTATTTTTCCTTTTTAATTTCAAGTTTCAATTATTCATTACTTATATACTGAAATAGTTAATTTTTTGATGTTGACCTTGTGACCATGCTAAACTTAATTTTTAGTTCTTGTGGCATTTTTATTGATTCCTTAGAATTTCCTGTATAGAAAATTTTCCAATTGTGTTGCTTGCCAATAAAGACACTCCTTCATCTTTTTTTAGTGGGGGTCTGTAGGCCTTTTGTTTCTTGCTTTGCCACACTGACTAGGATCTCCAGTACAGTGTTGAACAGAAGCGATAAGAACTGCCATCTTTGGTCTGTTCCTGGATCTTAGGGAGAAAACATTTAGTCTTTCAACATTAAACATAATGTTAACTATAGTTTTTTTGTAGGTGCCCTTTATTAAGGAAATTTTCTATTCCTAGTTTACTGGAACTTTGTGTCCTTGAATAGGCATTGAATTTTGGCAGATTCTTTTCTGCACTTATGGTCATCATATAGTGTTTTTGTTTTATTCTTTAAGTCAGGTAGTATGGCAAATTTATTGATTGATGTTTTTCAAATGTTCAACCACATGAATATTCCTGGGATAAACTCCACTTGGACATGATATATTACTGGATTTGATTTGCTAATATTTTAATAAGTTACTGGTTTGATTTGGTAACATTTTATTAAAGATGTTTGCATCTGTGGTTGTGAAGGTTATTGGTTTAGCTTTGTGTAGTATTCTTGTCTGGGTTTGGAATGAGGGAATATTGACTTTATAAGTGCATTGTGAAGTATTGGCTCGCCTTCTTTTTTCTGCTTGAGTTTGTCTAGAATTGATAATCATTTCCTTCTAAATTAGGAAATTCACCAGGGAACCCATCTGGGCCTAGAATTTTTCTTTGTGGAAAAGTTTTTAAGTACAAATTCAGTTTCTTTCCTGGATATATATAGCTCTTTGGGTTGTATGTATCCTGAAGATCTCTATTGTTTATGAAATAAATTGAATATAATTTATCTATAATTTTTTTCAGCAAGCTTAGTAGTTGGTGTCTTTCAAGTAATCTGTTTATTTCATTGAAGTTGTTGAATTTATAGATATAAACTTGTTCATAATATTCTCTTATTCTTTTAATGTCTGTGATCTGAGTGATGTCATTTTCATTCCTGTTATCAATAAATTGTGCTGATCAATTTTATTTATCTTTTCAAAGAAACCTCTCTGGTTTCTTTTTTCTGTGATTTCCTCTTTTCTGTTTCATTGGCTGCCATGCTTATCTTTTCTTTTTTTCCCCTTTTGCTTACTTTGGATTTAATACATTCTTATTTTTCTTAAAGTGGAATCTTAGATGATTGAATTAAGTTCTTTCATTAAAGAAAGATTGAATATAAGCATTTAATGCTGTAGTAAGCACTTTTTTTTGATATGGTGAGTTTTAATTTTAATTTACTTCAAAATACTTTTAATTTCCATAGGATATTTATAGATATATTGTTTAATTTCAAAATATTAGGAGGTTTTCAAGATATTTTTCTCTTTTTAGTTTCCATTATCATCAAAGAGCATATTTTTATATCATTCCAGTCCTTTTAAATTTCATGTAATTGTTATATGGCCCAGAATTTGGTATATCTTAGTGACTGTTCCATGTACAATTGAAGAGATTGTATGTTCTTTTGTTGTTGATCGGAATAGTCCATAAATGTTTGTTCACTGTGGTTTATAGTTATTCTTACTGATTTTTTTATCTGCTTTTCTATCTATTACTAAAAGTAATAAGTGTTGAAATTTTGAACTTTGTAGATTTATTTCTCTTTTGAAGATCTCAAGTTCTTGCTTTGGATATTTTAAAGCTCTGTAATTAGGTACATAATATTTAGTCTTGTTATATCCTTTCGAATAATTGACTTGTTGATCATTGTGAAATGTCCTCTTTGTTTTTGGTAATATTCTTTGTTCAGAAGTAATTCTGATTTGTCTGTTAGGTATAGCCACTCCAGCTTTCTTCAGATTTGTGTTTATATGGTATATCTTTTCTAACATTTTACTTTTAACTTACCTGTATATTTATATTCAAAGTTAATTTCTTGTAGGCAACATATAATTGGGGCTTGTTTTTCTCTTTGCTCTGACAATCTCTGTTTCTAATTATAATATTTAAATTATTTATATTAATATGTCAATGTGGGTTATGTTTAAATGGACCATCTTGCTAGTTATATTTTTCATTTTCAATGAAATAATGTAGTTTTTACTTATTAAGCTTAATTTTTAATATGTAAAATATCAGTTGTTATAATCTACATAAACAAAATTCTTTGCAGGAGGTCCACAATAATTTTTTTTAAATGCAAAGGAGCCCTGAGACTAAAAAATTTGAGAATTGCTCATTTAAACTTTTTGGACTCTGATCTCCTCTATTCCAGTCCGTTTTGGCTCTACACATGCCTGCTAAGTTAATAAATCTAAAACAACTGATCACATTATCCCCCTACTGTGAAACCTTCAGAGACCCACTGTTTTCTACAGAATAAACTTCTGCATACCCTAGCATGGCATCTTAGGGTGTTTTAGGTTTTTTATGAAGTGATCCAAAATTCACACTGTAATCTTCATTCTCGTGCTGATTGCTCTCACTTGGCATTTCAGGTAGCATGTCCCCCCTAGACACGCTGTGTCCTTTCCTGTCTTTTGCCATTTGTCATATTTGGAACTCTGCCTGGAATGCCATTTTCCTATTTTCAAAATAAATCTCTTCTATAATGAATCTTTATAGCATTTACCAGATTTTGTCTTGTATTGGCTATTTACACACAAACCTTGAGATGCCTTTATATTAGTTGTAATAAAAACGTAGCATTGCATTCGAATAATCCATCATGACATAAAATTCTTTCATGTGTGCTGTCCTTTTCTTTTATCCTTACAGCATCCAGTGAGATAGGTAAGACAGGTTTTAACACCATTTTAAAGAAAAATAGCTTAAAATTCAAAAAGGTTACATGGCTTGTGTGAAGCCACATAAGTATCAATTGGCAGACTTGGCCCTGAGCAGAAGAACCAAGGTCCTTTGATACCCTGAGCACCGGGATCTTTCTTCTCTGTAACATTTTTCTAAATGTCAGCATGATGGGGACTTTATGTACTTTTTCACTTAACTTTTACCCTAACCTGCACACGACTCGTTGAGGTAGGTGGTGGTATTCACATGTCACGGGAGAGCAAGCAGCCTCGGGCGGGTACTTACTGTAACACGTGGCCCTCGATGCGAACTCACTGAGTTTTCACAGTCTTTCTTCTGAGCGGGGCTCCTTGCCTGGGTGCGGCTAGGTGGCTCTCGAAGGTCATCTGAGAGCGTCACCTTCTTTATGACAGTTAATCATGAGGACTCACTGTTAGTTTCAATTGTCTATGTTTAGAATGTGCCATCTGAGGTTTTTGATTTACTGAACTTTTTACTGATACTAGATATGGTGGAAATTTTGCAAAAAGGGGCTCATTTAGTAATTTTGTTTATTTTAGGCAGTATTTGGCAGTTGTATTCAAAGATAAACCCCTGGAGCTATGGGATGTTAGGACTTGTACCATTCTTAGAGAAATGTCCAAAAACTTCCCTGGAATAACTGCTTTGGTAAGTTACAATTTTAGAACTAAACAGTGTATGTGTGGTGAATATTTTTCTTTACCTTGAACTGAAATCATTACTACTATGTATTTTCTTGTTAAAGATGTGTGTTCAGAGAAGATGATCTAAAGAAATGGAGATAATTCTTATTCGTGGATGTTTTAAGCTAATACTTCATAAGTGCAGTTCCAATTCCGATTTTACTTAGATATTTTGAGGAACATGATAAACATATTCTAAAATGTCTATTTAAGACTAAAGGTCATAATAGCTAAGTCAGCCTTGAAAAAAAGAAGAGTAAAGTGGGAGATGGGGGTGGGCCCACTCTACCTGATGTAGTACAGTGGACACAACCAGAGAAGTAGAAGCAATGTCGTATTGGCCCAAGAACAGGAAATGAACCAGTGTCATAAAGAGCTCATTAACAGAGCCCTGAATATTTGTGTACTTCATACACAGTAGAGAAGTGCACAGGTTGGGGTGGGGGACGGACTGCTGTGTAAGACAGCGTTGGGGAAACCGCCTTGCCTTACGGTCAAAAATGCTGGATCTCTGTGTATTGCAGTCAGAGGTGGGCTCCACAGGCTCAGAGACCTCAGTGTGAAAAAGTAAAGCTATGAAATTATATAGTCAAATCCAGAAGAATATTTGTGTTATAGGAGCAGGAGAGGATATCAGAAAATCAACCCAAAAGGCAAAAAAAAAAAAAGTGTTTAATTAGGTCAGGAGGGTGTTTCTTTTCAATGATGGACACAGATGTCAAGGTTGAATGTGCAAGAAAAGTTGCAAAAAGAAATTTTCCAGCACCAGAAACTGACTGATCCCTCTAGGGGATTGGCATTGTAGGAACCCCTGCACACGAATAATAAACAGACAGCAACCCAGTGGAGAGATGGGCCAAATATGCGATCAGTTAATGAATGCCAGAGAAGCCTGAAAGGCCAACAAGCCGATGAGGATGTTTTCAGCTGATCAGTTTTTAAGAGATGTGTAGTGTAAAATAACCATGATATATCTTTTAAACTGAAAGAATTGGAAAGCCAGCCACATAGCATCAGACATGGGTGTCACATGGGCCGTAGGAATCCTCATGCGCCGCTGGCAGGCATGCGGGCCAGTGAAGCCATCCTGGCAGCTCTTAGGCAAACATGGGCCGCCTCTGCGCTCCAGCTCCGCAGCTCCTGGCTGGGAAGGAACTTTTGTCAGGGCATTGGCTGTAGTGTTTTTGATCATGATGAGCGTTTGGAGGTAATCTGGCGTCCTCTGCTGAGAGAGCAGACTGAAAATTGGTGGATGCACACGTGGAATGGTACGTAGCATGCGGAAGCAACAGAGGTGCAACTTAGCGACATTGTGCTGAGTGAAAGGAGTTCGAACCGGGATGGGATAGACAACACGGTACTATTTATGCCAGTTACAAACACGTACACGTAAAATAACTACCTGGTAAGAATTTGTACATCTGAGCAGATAATTAGAGTAAACATTAAAATAGGTGGGCATATGAAAGACTCAGTAAATAAAGTGAGAGGTTTGAGGCAGACCTGTGGGTGACAGCGGCAGTGACTGCGGACAGTCCTCTCACCCTGTGCGCCTAAGGGGTGGCGGCGGAGGGAGAGAATAGCAGACGCCCTCACTGAATGTATCGTTTTCATTTTGTAAAAAAATAAAGTGCCAAAGGTTAGACTTTTTGGAAGTTTGACATTAAACTTTTCTACCTTAAGTTCTAATTAAAATGCATTCATTCAGCCTTTCTGTAAATAGATAAACCCTAAGGACAGATGGTAAATTCATGTGCAGTAGTAATTGCAGCCGAGCTATGGCGAGCAGCCCAGGGGTTCAGGCAGGGTTCTTTGACAGAAGAACACCGAGCACGTCTAGTGGGTCTGTCTTCGCTTCACAGGAGTGGTCGCCCTCTCACAACCTGAAGAGCCTGAGAAAGAAACAGCTGGCCACCCGCGAGGCCATGGCCCGCCAGACTGTGGTCTCAGACACAGAGCTGAGCATCGCTGAGTCGTCTGTGATCAGGTGCAGTGTGCCCTTTCCTGCCACCGTCATTTGTAATGTCTGTGTCATGGTTGGGAACTTGCCAGGTGTCCCAGAGGCTTCTTGAGAAGAAGCAAGCTACACTCTGTTTTGAACACACTGTGTTTGGTACTTTTGTACCTACCCAGATTTCTGGAGAATTCACCCAACTGTTGCGTTCCGTAGCGCGCCAGCACCTTACATCCTCAGCCGGCGTGCCACAGGCCTTTCAGACGTGCCGCACCTGACCGTGTGGTCGGCGGCACCGCGTCTTTTCCCTGAGATGTCAAATAAAGAAGTGAGAATAGCCAACACAACAGTAGCCGTATGGTGTGAATGAATCAACATTATACCCATTTTCTTTTTTGGTACATCGGCAAAAAATACATTATATTTTTTGATGTGCTGCAGAATTTTAGTAATTGGTTTCTTTGTGCCATGAGATGAAAAAGGCTGAAAACCACTGGCTTACACAGTAATATCCATTAGAGAAATGATCATTCTGTCCCATAAGCTTGAGCTTTTGACGTTCAAAGGAACATAACGTTGAACATACAGAGAGATCATATTTTCACTTACGTACACCAAAGAAAATATTTTGAGAACTCCAAATTTATGTATTGTTCCCACCCCCACCAATTTTACAAATAAGTACCGTCCGAGAGAATGAGGGGTCTCCACCGAGGAGAGCGCCGTGTGCCTCCTGGAGCAGCCGGGCCTCTGGACGGGGGATGCGCCCTCGTGAGGACTGTCTGGGAGTAACTGGGGTTTCCTGTTGTCAGCTTCAGCCTTTTTGTTTTTGTTTTTTTTTTTAATGGTTTTGGATCTCCTGTTAATACATCTGTATTTTGGGTGAGTTAATTATGGGGACATTCTAGGGAATGAAAAATTTTTACGTTCTTTCTATCCCAAAGCTTGTTGCAGGAAGCGGAAAGTAAATCTGAACTCAGTCAGAACATCTCCGCCCGAGAGCACTTTGTGTTCACCGACGTCGACGGCCAAGTTTATCATTTCACCGTTGAAGGAAACTCAGTGAGGGACAGCGCTCGCATCCCACCAGATGTGAGTTCCGCCCTTGGTTAAATCTTCGTTAAGAGTCCTTATCAAAGGCTGTGTTGGTTCTGTATCCAGTGACGCCGTACCGAAGTTGGAAAGCTATTTCAGAAAAATTGAATGTAAATAAACTTTAGTATTTAAGGAAATACTATCATTGATTCAACTTGTTCCATATTGCTATAGCATTGTAACTGCTTAGACTAAAAACTTCATCGTGTGCTACTCTTTTTTATCCCCATAATAATCCATGAGGAATTTTCTGCATTTTTTCTATGACAAAACTGAGGCAGAGTGAGTGCCCTTCCCAAGGCTACCCAGCTTCGTGACGTGGCAGTTTTAAACTTGGGTATGTCTGCCTGACTCCAGTGTCACTCCTCTCTCGGTGTCAGGCATTACCCTGAGGGTTTCATGTACAGTCTAGAATCATTTATAGAAAATAGTAATCAAGTTATAAGTGTAATAGTACCATTAACTTTTACTAATTTTTGCTTATCCTCATGGCCTTCTGGAATCCTCTGCCTAAGGTTTTGTAGTTAATAATTTGTGTCAGCATTTATCTCACAGGTTGTTTTCAATGGGTAGATTAAGAAAATGTTTTGTTAACCAATACTGCTCTAATGGTTAAGTGGAGGCATGAGATGATTTCTCAACTATATGTATATATTTTAAATTCCTGTCTAAAAATGGCATGTCTTCGTCGAATGCCAGCCCCCATGTTTTACAGGTGGCTGGGGTCGCACAAGGGGGAGTCAGGACGCTGGCTGAGCCGGGAGGGTCCCCTGGGAGGCGCTCACTCACCTGGCCAGTGCGCTTTAAGGCCGGCCTGTGTCCCTCCTCACGCGGGCCTCTCCAGAGGACCGTCGGTGTCCCCATGCCACAGCGGCTGGCTTCCCCCAGAGCGAGCGGGCCGAGACAGAGCGCAAAGCAAGCTGCAGTGTCTCTCAGGACCCAGTTTTAGAAGCCACACCCCACCATTCATTTCCACAGCGGGCTTTTTGTTCCCGGGTCACCTGTTCACTGTGGGAGGTGACTACCAAGGGACACGAAACCAAAAGGCAGAGTCCCTGGGGGCCTCTCAGAGGCTGGCTTCCACATCTTCCTTATTAGCAGGTAGAGAAGAATGGAAGGTAGGCATGTAGCCTTCACTGCTAAAAACAAACTAACCTGTGAAAGTGCTCTTCACACTGCAGCTTCGTTTGTGCTGTTATATAGAGCAAGTCATATCTGAGACGTAGTCTATTTTGAACCATCTCTAGCGTTGCCAGAAATTTTCACTTGTTTAAAAGGTTGAAAATAATAATGCGAGTGTGACAGATTGATATTAGTTATACTTGGAAAAGGAACCTAACTTTAAGTGCGTAGAAAGGAAAACTGTTCCTACGGAGCGCAGACATAAAGCGGCAGTGTGATGTTGCTGCCCTTTGGAAAATCAGCTTGCTTGCTTCTGCATGAATCTACGCCTTTGGAACCCAGACAGGCCCACCCAAGCCCCTCCAGGGCCACTCGCAAAGGGCTCAGTCCCTTTTCTCGTCACTTCACATTGGAGATTAGAGTGGAGACACAATGCAGTGGCTTGTGAGATGCTGGTTCCCCTGCCCTCACCTCCCCAAAAGTTTAACATTTTTGGACATTGATAGGAGTTTTCCTTTTTGTAAGGGCTTCTTGTGGGATGACAGTTGTGCCATAGAGCTTTTAAGGGTCTCTCTCTTTGTCTCTCTGTGGAGGTCTGAAGTGAGGATCAGCCAGTCTCTCTGTTCTGCCTGCCCGGTCCTTTCATTCCGCAGCCGGACACCGCTTCCTCTGAGTGACCGGCCTAATAGGGAATAAGGATGTAGCCGCCAGTGACATTAGTAGATATTTCAGAGCAGATCATTTTTAGAGAAAAGGGAATTGAGCATCTACTGTATACTACAAGAGGCATCAATTTTGGATCATTTTTATTTTCTGTTATTAAAGTCTTTTCTAGGAATTACAGTGTAGAATTTAGGCGGTGGTTTTGTTTGCTTATTTTAATTATTTGTGTTACTCTCTCAACTGTAAGGTATTGAACACTTGTTTTGAGTCAACACTTTCCCTCCAGATTCTGGCCTCAAAACTATGCAGTATGTAGAAAAGAAGAGGAAGCCTTGGCATGTTTTAAACTACGTGCACATGGAGAGTCTAGCTGACGGCTTTTATACAGCGGGCAAGAACGGCTGTCTCTGCCTTGCTGCCAGCCTTAGTTCTCCTGTTTGGATCATTATATTTCACATGTGAGCATCAGATCAGTGTCAGCTAATAACGTTCTGTTGAGTTTTAATCCTGCATTGATCTGCGGTTATTTGGAGCCACAAAGCAAGGTGGTAGCACGTCCTCTTAAAGCATCTTGGTATCTGTCTCCACGTTGCTTGTATCCGAACATCAAACTCTTAGGTAGAAGAGTCTGGGATGTTTAATGATACAGCTGTATTAATGCATCATTTGTCATTCTAAGTGCATAGCACTGATTTCTGGGTTAATTTAAATTTTAATATAATGCGGTATTTTTTTTTAGGTATTTGAAAGGTTATAAAATGTGGAAGTTTTTAAGGCTAATAAATGTAAACGCAAATTCTTAATTAAACACTGTGTTAATATGGTCAGGAGAACAAAAATAAGATCTTGGAGTGTTGCTTCATATTGTACAGAATTCTATTAAACATTTTTTGTATTACTGAATTCGTTGAGGCACTCAGTTTTATCCTAGCTTTTCCTCTGCGTGGTGCCCGCCGCCAGGACCCCGCGGTGCCGGCGCCACGGGCCCGTGCGGCGGTAGCCTGTCTGGCCGCCCCTGGAGCTGTCCTGCTCCTCCCGGCAGCTGCTGTGAGAGCTGGATGTGTGCATTTTTATATCACTCTATAAATGCAAAAGTAAGAGTTTTTTAATATGTAGAGAAGTAGTTGAGCAATAATGCTATATAATAGCTAATGTGTATTGACTCTTTTACTGGGTGACAGGCATTGTTTTAAGGCCTCTACCTGTATACTTTTGTTAATGCTAATGGGAACCCCTCAGGTTTCATTAGCTTACCCTACTTTATTGATGATAAAATCCAAGACACAGAAAGATTAAGTAAATATGCCCCAAATCACACAACGAAGTAAGCAATCAAGTTCGGACTCAAGCGCAGGCAGCCGATGGCGTGGCCCAGGCCCCAGGCGTCTGCGCAAAGCTTTTGTGTGTCTGTTACGGCTGCAGCCTCCTCCTTGCCCACCTCAGAGATGACACCAGGGCACTGTAGCCTGACCTTTGTGTTTCCATACATAACTTCTTGGCCGGGCTTTTTGTGGATTCAGACTGTGCCGATATCTTGTACAGAGGTACAGTACCTCTTCACCTTCATTATTCCAAAAGATACCGCTGAAGCTCTAGGTCCTTGTTTTCAATAGAAAAAGTACTGCATGACTGTTATAAAACAGCTTTTGAGTTTCACCTAGAATAGATGTATATATCCTTTTGTAATGAGAGATAAGTTGGAGATAGGAGTTCTCTCCTAGGGGTTTTCTTCCCTTCTGTCTCTTGTCTTTTATATCCTTTAATTTTCTTTAAGGGATTTCTTTCTGAAAAGACATCTGTTTTCTATAAATCTAGTTCTGATAACTTAATGTCTGTCAAGCAGAAATCTCCTGTTTCTTTATAGTTAAAATTGATATGCTAGGTAGCTATTTTAGTGTCCAAAGTCACTTAGTGCTTGATTGCATTAATAATAAAGCAAAACCATTTATAGTTTATTAAAATATCTTTGCTATTTTATAATAGTTATTAAGTAAAAATATTGCTCTGTTATGACAGGTTGTAAGTAGTGAAATTTATGTACTTGTTGCTGTTCTTTTCTAGGGAAGTATGGGTAGTATTACCTGCATCGCTTGGAAGGGCGATATGCTAGTTCTTGGGGATACGGATGGAAATCTAAATTTTTGGGATTTGAAAGGCAGAGTATCCAGGTATGAGTTAAGAAAGCAGTCTTGTTATTTCATTTTAAAAAAGTAACCTCTCGATATGGATCTTGTGTCTCTGAACTTGGGAGGAAGGGCCTGGGCCTTGATCCGAGCTCTGGATCTTTCATATCTGCAAGTGCCCCATACAGAGGTGCTGGGACATGATTCCAGCTGTTGTCAAAGGGCAGAGCCTTCTGTCAGATGTGGCCCGAGTCCCAGAGGGCAGAGTGGTTCTCCCTTCACCAGATCTTGTCGGAAACGGAAATAGAAGGAGCCGTGGGACAGAGTGTCTGGCGGTGAGAGCCTGCTTGGCCTCATGCCAGTGCTCTGGTTTTTGTTTGTCCTCAGAGGGATACCTACGCACCGAAGCTGGGTGAGGAAGATTCGCTTTGCCCCTGGTAAAGGAAACCAGAAGTTAATAGCGATGTACAACGACGGAGCTGAAGTGTGGGATGCGAAAGAGGTAGGCCCGGCTCCTTGTGAGCTCGCGGCAGGGGGAGCCGCTCCCTCCTGTTTTACAAATGAAAACTATGCTGGGTTTGTCAAACTTAAAATGACTTTCTGCTTCTGAAAATTTCCCTTTTCAGTATTTCTGTTCCAAGGGTGTCAGCTCAACACCTTTTTTAAAATGTTACCACTGTCTTTGGGACCTTTAAGTGCGGTCTGCATGTGGAAGAGAGATTGCTGAAGACTGTTCGGTTTTGAACCTACCTTGGGTCTTTGCCATGGGCACCGTCTCTCTTTGACTGTAATCCAGAATGACAGGCATCTTCCTTTTCTTTCTGACTGTGACAACCATGTTCACTCTTGAAGGTTCAGATGGTGAGCAGTTTAAGAAGCGGGAGAAACGTGACCTTCCGGATATTGGACGTGGACTGGTGTACATCCGACAAAGTGATCTTGGCATCAGACGATGGGTGTATCCGAGTCCTCGAGATGTCTATGAAGTCTGCGTGTTTTAGAATGGATGAACAGGAGTTGACCGGTACGGAATTCTAACGAAAGGGGCTTTGAAATCTGTCTTTACTTTGTGCAGGGTGCTCTCTTCTGTGGAGAGAGCAGCTTATATTCATGCAGCCCTTGCTTTCTGAGACTGAATTTAAGAAACTTAAGTGTGGGTGTCTTCGCCGCTGAGATGCCGGGCTCTCGTAATTGCGGGTGTTAGTCGCTCCCGACTCCCGTTTGGCAGGCGCCCTTTCTCCAACCCTTTTCTCAGTGCTTTTCCAAAAGATCAGAGAAGTTTACATTCATCAAGATGGCTGCCTCAGAATTCAGAACTTATCCGGGGACATGAAGCTCGGGATCAGGTGCCTGGCTTTTTAGTAGTGAGCCTTACACTCATCGTTTGCGGCCACCTGTCATAGAAGAGCTGCTTTGGAAAGTGTCCTGGGTGTTGTGAATTTTGATGCCTGTTGTGTGACTTGTGGCATGGCCAGTCAGAACAAAAGTAGATGCTTGCTCTAGCTCAGCCTTTGTCAAATGGTTGTTTCAAGATGGTTTTGTACCAGAATGTGAAATGGTTTAGTGAAAACAATCTCGTATGTGACTTGAAGAAAAGAATGAGAAGATTGACTATAGCCATCACTCGGTTGAGAGGCAGCTCCGGTCTGATGAATTTCAGCATCTGTACTTGTGAGATACTTTTGGCTGGAGACATATTCCGATCCTCATTGGAGGAAAGCAAGAGACATCCTGCATTAAGTATTCTCTAAGCATGCCTTCGGTGTACACGCCAGGCTGCCTGACCGGTAAAAAATTCATGAGACTTGTTTAGTCGTGTCCTGGGTTTCAGCATGGAAGTTCGGCTCTGGGAATTGTCTGTTCCTTGTAGAGCCGTGCTTTGGCTCATCCAGAGACGGCACCGTTTTGAAAACCCGCTCCTTAGTGCTGTGTTCCTGCCGGAGGCACTCCCGGATTGCTGCCTAATGTTGGCCGGGCTCACTTAGGCCAGGTGTGCTTTTGACCCTGTCACTGCTGTGCCCCTGCCCCTGCATCTGGGTGCCACCACTTCTTACTCGGGAGCCGTGATGCCACCTGGTAAAGCCAGAAGTTAAACGTCACATTCCCTACGTGTCCTTAAGACACTTGCCAGCTCTGCAGAGACCCCAGGATCCCCCCACACGGGCAAGGGGGAGCTCTGCTATTAATTTTAAACCTAATGTTATTAAGGAAATTGGGGTAACTTTCAGGATTTGTCTTTTAACTTAGTTACTAGCTCTAGGTAAAGAAGTACAAAAATATAATCTTTGACCTTTAATTTAAAATCTGAATCTAAAAATCTCCAAAGCCAAGGTAGCTTGTTCTTAAATTAACTGACTGCCAAATTAGAGCCCACCATTAACCCATATTTAATAATGGTTTAGTAATACCACACTTGAACATCTAACCTGCAGCCAGATTTTAGATTGCATTCTTCCTTTACAGTTTTTCTAATATTAAAAAAAAATAGTAATTTTTAATTAACTGCTATTGGTACAGCTGTAGCCAGAAAGGGAAAAAAGTTTAAGTAATAATAGGGAAAGGTCAATAAAGTCATATGTACACTATACAAATTGAACTTAAAACTCAGAACAACACTCAGTAAATGTTAAGGAGTAAAAACTGGTGATTGTATAAATATGGAGTTAGGAAAAAGATGTCTGTGTATTTACCTCCAGGTATGTGCTTATTTGGGCTTGGAAAAATATGTTTGATATAATATATTTCTATTTGGGGGAATCAGAAATATAATTTGAACTTACTGCTGTCAGGGATAAAAATAAAATCATTTTAGGTCATAGGCATTGACATCTCATATTTAATATATTTCTTCAGTTCTCCTTGATAGCAAGCAGAGAAAATCATAAGTCATTGATGATTGAAATCTGTTTTTTAGGGCAGCTTAGGTAGTCCTATTCCTCCACGCCCTCTTTGCTTACATTTGTCTGAGCCCCCAACCTCCCCAAGTAAAGGGAGAGGTTGGACAGATGGAGAAGGTTGGAATCTCTCTTTTTGAGTTGGAGAATCCTTCTTGCCTGCTGCAATATAAGGAGGGGCATAAAACAACATAGAAAAGCTTAATATGCTTTTTAGCAGCATCTGCAAGGAACCCAAGAGTATGAGACTTCTTTAGTAACGTTCTCGTACGATGCGTTTCCACACACTTTACATATGTCGACATGGTGTCAGAGACTTTTCAATCTAACTTCCTCCCCAGCTGCTGGGCCACTGCGGAGCACATTGTGCCCAAGTGAGCACAGGTAGAAAGAAGCCTTCCATAAAACCGGGTTTATACCCGCACCCTTCCTCTCCACCTGCCTCAGCGTTCCAAGTGTTTTCTAGCAGTTTTCACTTGGGGCATTTGGACATGTGTCACGACATGGAGCGCGGGGAGGTCCGGGGATGCAGAGTAACGTGCAGTGTGTGGAGCAGTCGGGAGGATGAGCTGTCCTGCCCAAAATGTCACGATGTCCCTTGTCTCCCTTCTTCCCCCTGCGTTGAGTCCCAGTGAACAAAATCACCAAAGCAGGACCCTCGCGCTCTTAAAATCGCCTGCTCACCTTGACATTTGCCACCTCCACATGGTGGAGTAGCTTTTCTGCTGCTTTTCTTCTTGGCTCTTCAGTTCCTGATTTCCTGCATCGCTGTCAGAGAGGCCGCTGGCAGCCTGTGCGTGGTTCTGATCGACCCGTCAGACAGCTGCAGCGCGGACTCAGCACGCTGTGTCCAGGAGAGGTAGCAGCGACGCCCCTGCCTTTTTATTCTAATCGGGTCACTTCAGAAGTGAGCGAGCTCTTGCAGGGGGGCTGCTCCAGCTGTGAGGTGGTCAGTCTCGACCCTTGAGAAGACAGGTTCAAATTTGTTGGAGCGTGGGAGGTGATAGCGTTTACTTTCCTTTTGTTCATGCTCGTGGGATGCTGTCAACACTATTTTGCTTTGGAGAAATAACACGTATGTTTTTAAAAATAAGACATTTCCTTCCATTTACTCAGACTTCATGAATGTTGTCTTGCTCCCATTACAGAAACACTCCACGATGCTGCTTTCTAAGAAGACCCCCTTGTGTCTTTTCATTTGTCCATTGATTGAGAAACTTCCACGTAGTTTTCCCGTAGGGACGGAGATGCTCCTTGAACCATTCCATGTTTAATTTTTTGTTCCTTGATATTTACTGTTTCCAAACATTTTGTGACTTGATGCCAGCAGCTACTACTGTCTGAAAGCCAAAGGGGCTGACTGAGAATTTGAGAATTATAGGATCGCCATCTACTAGGGATGAATAGAAAGAGCATTCAGTAGACTAACGCCATCTTCCCTTCCAGCACTGATTTTAGTGCTTCGGGGGATGGGTAGGTAAGCCGCATTCTCACCACGGACATTCCTTTCTCTACAGCTGGGTATCAAAGAAAAGATAAATTGGACTACTGGGAAAAATTTTTTTTAAACTTTCAAAGCAAAAGAAATTTTAAGCATAGCAAAACACAAATGATAACTTGATGAATGTATTTGAACGTCAGTAACAGATTGTCCACAGGGGGGAATAAAAGATATGTAAATGGCCTGTAATGATATGAAAAGATGCTGAACTTTATTCATAATAAAAAAAAATATAAGTTAAAACTGCACGAAGAAGCTGTTTCTCACCTATCAGATTAACAAAAATTCACCCGTCCGGAGGCGTCCCCTGCGAGGAAGCCAGCGCTCCCAACGCTGCCCGCGGCTGTGAGGGGCTGCCCCGGCAGGTCCGGGCGGCCGGGCACCGCAGGGCAGAACGGCGGCCCTGGTGTCGGCGCTGAGTGAGAAGCTCATCATTTCATGGCAAGATGCATGGGGAGAAGGGAAGGCTCCTGTTAATAGAAGAATGCCCGTTGATAGATGTAGACAGAATGATAGTATTAGAAAATCACCAATTTACAACTCCTATTACAATAATTGATTCGAGTAAAGATCATTAAGTAGATGTGGAATCACTGAGTAGAAAGATTTTTGGAATAGGAAATTCAGTCTCACAGTGTCTCCTCCACGTTACTGATTCTGAAGAGAAAAAGGTGCCCGGACTAGAGAGAGCTCTGGTGCCTTCCCCCTCAGCTACATGATCAGATTCAGCGTTACCAGAAGACCACCAGCTAACACGCACCTTCCGACGGGACGCCGTGGAGGGGCCCGCCAGCCCCCATGTGGGGTTCTTGCTGAAGATGTTTAACCTGGGTCTGATGCTCAGAACACACAAATCGGAATGTAGGCCACTTCCTAAGACAACTGGCTCTTTAAAAATGAAAACATCATATAAGATCAGAAGCAGAGTGGGAGGTCTGCCCTAGAGCAGAGGAGGCAGGAGCGTCGGGACAAGCTGGTGCAGGCAGGAGCCGGGCCTGGGCCCCAGGGTTTTGGATACTCAGGGGTGACAGAGGACTTTTGAGTATGGACTGCACTTTAAGTAATTTTATAGAATCAATATTAAAACTCTGGGTTGTGAAAAAAAAAGTAGTATTAGAAATGTTCTTGATCACTCTCCAACTTTGAAATTGAAAAGCCCACATAAAATACTTTATCTATGACTTAATTTATACTTAACTACATAGAATGAAGTGTTCTAAAGCAGGTCTGTCCAATAGAAATATAACATGAGCTATGTATGTAAGTTTAAATTTTCTAGTACCGCATTAAAAAGGTAAAAAGAAACAGATGAAATTGATTTTAATAAAAATTTTATTTAAGCCAGTATATTCAAAATTTTACCATTTTAACATAAAATCATTATTAAAAATTACTAAGGCAACATTTTATATTTTTTAGTCTTCAAAATCCAGCATGTATTTTCATTTAGAGCACATCTCAATTCAGAGGACAAATTTTCAGCAGAAATACTCGAGTTGTATCTAGATTTTATAAAATTTTTCATCTGAGAAAGTAGCCATATATTAGGTTCTTCCAAATATTCTTAAACGTCGTCCAAGTATTAGTTTTTAAATTTAAATTAATTAAAATTAAATAAGTTAAGAATTCATCTCTTTGATTGAACTCGCTATATTCCCAGGGCTCAGTAGCCACGCAGGACTAGAGGCCGTCGTGTTGGACAGCACGGCGCAAAGTCTGTGTGGTCACTTACATAAGGCAACAGCCTTGTAGATGCGTGTGATTTGACGTGAACGTACCTGCCCGGGGGTCTGTGGGAGAAAGATGCTGTGGGACGTGGGAGCAGCAGTGAGGCTGAGTTTGTCAAAGCGGGTGGGCCGCAGAGAACTCGGTTGGAGACTGAGTCTGGCAGAGTGTGGTCACGGGGAGACGGGGCCCAGCTGTCTAGGTGGGGAGGCCTTCGGGCCTTCTCTTTCTTTGCATTGGAACATGTTGAAAAGCAGGCAAATCTTGTTTGTTGTGTCCTAAGTGAGCCAACGGTGACGTGTGGGGGGTTCTGGGATGATAGTGCCTTTGTTCAAGGGTTACATTTATAAGTAAGACCTAAGAGTACACTTGATCAGAGTTGGCCTGATCCCTTCAGCGAGGGGCTCAGGGTTGATGAGCCACGTTAGTTCAGTAGTCTCAGAAAAACAAAGACATTGAGTGGTGTAAGATGATCCTGGTAGATATGTTAGTCCAGTGTAAGTTAAAATGGTGAGCTATACTGCTATCTGTTGAATTGTTGCACTGAATCTTTTATTCAGGTAGGATTGTTGTTGTTTACCGTACAGGACACCTAAAAGGGGGAGAACAGTGTAGTAGTCCATTTGAATGAAGAGAACCCCTCCCGTCTCAGCGTCTTAGCAGCGGTTGCACTGGCCGTACTCTCTAGCTTGCCACCAGATTTATACTCAGTTCTCTGCTGCCTTGTCTGGAAACTGTCCGTGACGAAGCCTCAGTAGATAAAATTCTGCTTTCATCTAGAGCCTGTGTGGTGCCCGTACCTCCTGGTTCCGAGGGCCGCCCTCGCCTTGAAAGCCTTCTTACTGCACCAGCCATGGAACGGGCAGTATTCTTTGGATATTTCCCATGTGTAAGTTTTTCCATTTCTGTTTACTTTTTAAAATTTCCTTAGGGGTGAAGGACACCCATGAGAATCAGCAGTGGCCTGTGCTCTAGGACTTAAAAGGATTGGGACCTTAAAACTGAGCCAAGGCAGACACTGCAGACACATGAGGGAATCGCCAGTCTGCCCTCGTTTCCAGCCCCCTGGGGCCCTCGTGGAGGCGTGAGCGCGGGGGGCCGGGAGCACACACTTGCTCCCGGGTGGCCATGCGGCCACGTGCTCGGCCTCCCGTCTGAGCCTGGCCTGGTGGGAGTGCGGAGGGCCAGTGGCGGCCCGGAGGAATTTGAGGCCATGGTTAACTCTTAAAAAAAGCTCCAAGAACGTGCCTGCGTCAGAGGTATTTTATGTTTCATAAATCTCAGAGCCTGCCTTGTTGCAAAAATAAGTTCACAGAAACTATGATTAGCAGTTATTAAGTACACTCACAAGTGTTGCTGACCTCGTGCCACGTGGCGTGCACAGGGAGGCGTGAGTGAGGAGAATAGAGGTGACGCGCGGCTGTGTCCGAGCCCCAGGAGTGTCCACGGGGACGGGGGGCGAGTGGCCATTTGGTGGAGCAGGAGCAGCCCCCCCTTCAGTCATCGCTGAGTTCCTCACAGCTTTGGGAGCCCACTGATACATTTTCCCATTTCTTGAAAGTCAAAGACTTTCTTTACGCATGTCCTGTTTTGACTAAATAAGCTAGAAACAGACGTTAAAGATGGGTAGGGGGTTCCTGAGTAGACTGTTGTGCTTTGGCCACAACCAAGTTTTTAACTGAAAACTACGAAGATGTTATAATTAACGCAACTTTTTTTCCTAGAGAAAAAATAAATGGTTGTAAGTGAAGAGATAATAAACTCATTCAAAATCTTTTTGTACAGTGATTACCCAGAAAATGAAGAAATAAAGAATCTCCTTCAAGAGCAGCTGAATTCATTGTCTAAGTAAGCACTCCAATTATGTTTTATTACAAGATAAGAATATGAGAAAGGAAAATACAATAATTTAGGCTATTTAAAATTAAAATAAGTCGTGTTTTAGAAAACCTTAGTGGCCCAGGGAGAGACAGTTCTCTACCACAGAGGCCTGTCTCCTACAGAGCCTGCGTGCTGTAGGTGTGGTTATTTCCTCGTCTGCGGGCAGCGCATCTCCCTTCAGCAAGTCCCTAAGTGTCCGGTGGCGCTGGTCTCCTGTCTGGGCGGCAACAGCCCCAGGGCGTGAGGGTCCTTCCAGCTCAGCCCGCCGGCACCACAGACCTCTGCGGTCTCCCGCGAGGACGCACACAGGCGACTCCTGTGCGCCAGCTTCCTGCTTCTAAAACGGGTTCTCTGTACAGGGCCATGCACAGTTATGGCGAAGAAATCAAATGCTCCCTGAGCCAAGAGCGTTCAGAAGTGTATGTTAGGGCAAGTGCTGCAGAGGAGTTCTTGGTCAAACATAACATTTTTGCAATCAAGCATCTGTTACATGTAATTATAATATTTAATAAGTTAGCCATAATAGAATGCTATATTGATGTCAGATTCAAAATAATTACTTGATTGTTTTCTCTATACAAATGTTAACATTTGGGTTTAAATGAAAAAGAATAGATTTAAAGAATATAGCTCCTTCCCTCTCCCCCTAATTAATGAATATTCACTATTTGGCTATTTTAGAAACATCAGTTTATAAAAACAGGAGCCTTTCTTCCTTAAATATTTTATTTCAGGGATAATTTCAAAAGTAAATTCTGAATGCAGCTTCTCTAAGGTATATACTGTTTCTGATGATTAGCAAAATCATTTTATCAACAGTGACATACTCATTCCTATATAATTAGGCAACTGTTTGTGTTTTCAAAAATGAGAGTTGGAGCGCGGCAAGAGCGCCAGCCACGGCCGGAGACTCACCGCCCCGTGGCGGCTGACAGGTGCCCCTCCTCCAGCCCCCAGTACACGCTCTACACTCTAGAAGCTTCTGTAATGTCAGGGACTGGGCAGTGTAACTTCTTTGTAAGCTCTAAACATAGCCTTTGAGTGGAATCTCCCATCTCTAGAGCATCTTGATTTATTGCCTTGCCATATTGTTTAATTAAAAATGTCTTTCTTGCCTTGTCTGGATCCCTGGCTGCAGTGATGTGAAGAGCCTCTTGCTCGACCCGGAATTCACGCTCCTGCAGCGGTGCCTGCTGGTGTCCAGGTAACGCTTTTGGAGGTGGTCTGTGTGCGAGACAGACAGCTTCAGGTTAACCCACTTCTCTGGTTATGGATTTTTAGTTAAGGGCAAACACTTCTAGGTTTTAGAAAAATATTTTAGTTCATCCTTTAATATGACAATTAATTTTGAAAGGAGTAACACAAATAGAAAAAAGTTATGATTAACATGAGATCTAGGCCTTCTCGATTGAAAAGATTTCCTCCTACAGACAGCTTTTTAAAATGTGTTTAAAAATATCAGCTATAAAGGGCATGTCCCTAAGTATACCAGTAAGTTATATTTAGAATCAATAACCTATATACTTCCACGGCACAATAGAGTTGTCACTTGTAAAGAAGACGTTGCCCTCCACTCCCCAGAGAATAAATTGCACGTTGCCTCCACACCTCATGTGGCCGGTTATCCCAGGGGAACTTCTTCCTTCATACGATGCCGTGGTTCAGGGTGAAGGCGCACCGACGGCAGGCTGGGCGGTGCTCTTACCACAGGATGGAGAGGGACCTGGGGCTGAAGGGACCCCGTGCAGCCAGGCCCCGTACTGGTCGAGCCCCAGGAACGGGGCGGAACCCTTCCCCATGCAGGCACCAGCCAGGGCCCCGGACGTGTTCACCTGGCAGCACTGCGCCCCCGCGTGCAGGCCGCTCCGCGAAGCGCCTGTGTGCGAGCGTTCAGGGCAGCCTTGGCCTCCCCTTCGCAGGCTGTACGGCGACGAGTCGGAGCTGCACTTCTGGACCGTCGCGGCACACTACCTGCACAGCCTGTCCCCCGCGCTGGTGGCGGCAGAGACTGCGTCGCAGGACAGAGTGAACAACCCGCTGGACATATGCTATGACATACTCTGTGAAAATGCCTATTTTCAGGTACTGTATTTCATATATTAAAACCTTGAAAGCTATCGTCTTGATTACGTACGTGTTTGTAAGTGTATGTAACTTGGGGAACTTGGGAACTAAGCTAAGGTCCACATGATGGAAATGAGCCCATTGCACATTTGCATAAAAAAGGCCTGGCCCAGGATTTGAAAAGCTAATAAACATTTACTGAGGTTTTTGATACACATTGAAATTTTACGATTAACAGTCTTCTTATTTTTGCCTAAAAAATTTTTAACTTAGAAGGTTTAATTTCTTTAATTATTTTCTAAAATAACATTTCACTTGGTTTGAATTTGCTATTTTATATATAAAAAGGTAGCTTCAAAACTTTATAGTATGAGGGGGAACCCCAAAGATGGGAATTTATTTATAAAAAATTGTGTATTTATTTTTATATGTTTAAACTTCAGTCACCTTCAGAGTACTCTCCATTTGATGCAATACAGCTATCAAGACATTTTTTCCACAGCTCGAAAGTTTTTGAACTCATGAATTTTGATGCGTTTTAGTGCTTCTGCCATTTTTTTATTTCAACTGTTCCATATCAGCAAAATATTTCCCTTTGAGGACTTTTTTCATCTGGGCATACAAACAAAACAAAACAAAAGTCCCTTGGGGCAATATCAGGTGAATAGGGAACATGGGGCATGGGGTTATGCCATTTTTGGTCAAAACCTGCTGAACGCTCAGTGAAGTGTGGGCAGGTGCCCTCATAAATCACCCATCATCAAATGGGTTGAAAGAGTCTTCAAAAAAATTTGCTGAAACTGAACACAGCCTCTCACAACAACGCTGCCTGCTGCACTGATACAGATGGGTTCCTAGAACACTCACCTATCGGGGAAGCCTGAACCCCAAGGGGCCCGCCCTCCGGAAGTCATTCCATTGTTTTAGTGGGCTGGGGTCCCCGTCATTAATTCAGTCCACGTAGGGATTTCCATCCAGCTCTACTGGATGCAAACCTATATGCAAATGATAACACACTTTAACATTTTGGAATTTCAAATTTTTATTAAACTGTCAGATTACTGTAAAGTTGGTTAATAACCTTACAAATCAAAGTAAGTTTATTAAAATGACATTAAGTATAGTAAAATTTAAATAATTCAAAAGTTTTATAATCCAGGCTCAGTTTTCTTTTTTTTCCTACTCTAGAAATTTCAGCTGGAAAGGGTTAATCTGCAGGAAGTAAAACGGACAACTTACGATCACACGCGGAAATGTACAGACCAGCTCCTTCTCTTGGGCCAGGTGCGTCAGTGTTTATAACTCCTCTCCTGTCTCGCAGAGTCGCTGGTGGGTTAGTATTTCAGAGCATCACAGCTCCCTCTCCCGCTCCCTCTCCTGCTCTCTCTCACACGCACACACACGCACACACAGGCGCGCCTGCCACATAATGTTTCTCTGAAAGTCTAAGTATGAATTTAGGTTTTCTCTCAAAATAAAACCAGCAAATCTCCTAAGAAAGTGAAAACATGCTACGTCTAAGCAGTGCATAATTTTGGCCTCTGTAATGCGAAGTGAGGCCGAGCTTCTGTTCTGTTCTCGAGTCTCTGAGTGGGTGGCGCAGAGCTGCCCTGAGCGGGCGCCAAGCGCCTGTGCACCCAGGCCAGGGCTGGGTGTCTGTGCCGAGGCGCCGTGAGGTGCTTTCGGTCAGGTTTTGTGCATGTCGGCAAAGCACTCATGAGCAGTTTTTGAAAATGAGTCTTCTTTCAGTTCTAACTTGCAGTGCTCCAAATTAGGAACTTCTAAGGTTATGTTGGAGGAGAGTAATTCGAAGAACTGTTTCTTTATTAGACAGACAGAGCTGTGCAGCTGCTACTGGAAACAAGTGCCGATAACCAGCATTATTACTGCGACTCGCTGAAAGCCTGTTTGGTCACAACTGTCACCTCATCAGGCCCCTCCCAGAGCACCATTAAGCTGGTGGCAACGAACATGATTGCCAACGGCAAGTTGGCAGGTAAGGCGAGCTTCGCGGGCGTGTTCATCAGTGCTCTGGGCAGTGAGGCCTGTTGCCGGCAAAGGGTTTGATGACGAGGGGTGTTTCTTTCCTTCTGGTATGTGCTGGAGAAAGACAGGAAGATTATTGCTAGCTCTTTAGAAGGTAACTATATAATTGAACCCTCTAAACCAGAACACTTTTTTAAGAGTGAAAGAGGCACTATTAATAAATGCCAAGAAACAGGCCTAAGTTGGACAAACCTGGGCAGACTAAAATGATGAAAACCAGTGAGTGAGGTATGCTCTCCCTGTTTATTTTGGGACTGTATCATGCTTCCTACTTAGTTACTTGAGTGGCAGCATTGCAGAGCCGTATCTCAGTGTTTTATTTTAAACTTTAAGTCGGGAGGGTCCACAGCAGGTAAAACGCACGACTAGATGACATCGCAGGGAGGTTTTGCCATCGGTGACTTGCCTGCGAGGGCGCTGCATGTCACAGGGGGGCCCTGTCTTGCCTTCCAGAGGGCGTTCAGCTGCTCTGCCTGATAGACAAAGCCGCAGACGCCTGCCGCTACCTGCAGACGTACGGCGAGTGGAGCCGCGCAGCATGGCTCGCAAAGGTAGGTGATTTCAGCCAGTGCCCCAAGCGTTCGGGATAGAAATTTCAATCTTGAACTTTTCACTCAGTAGTTACAAGCATTTTGGGGCTGCAGGGCTGCTTTGCAAATACTTTCTCATAATGCTCGTCCTCCCATCCTTCACGAGCATAAATGTCACTGGTTCTTTTTGACCGATGCAGTTTGCATTGGCAGCAATTACGTGAAAGCAGCTGCCTCTTGCCTCTGCAGGGTGTGAGCCCAGACTACAGCCCCAAGGCACCGCCAGGCCCTGTGTCCCGCAGGCCTGGGTCCTTATCACTCGTGGTCACGGTCCGCAGCAGCATCAGGGCAGCGCGCTCGTAAAGCGAAGCCTAGCGTTTGCATCTAGGAACAGGTCCCATCTCGATTAATTTTTCACTTGTGTACAGCGTAGGCGTCTGTTTTCAACACATGCGTCTTTCCCAGGTCCGTTTAAATTCTGAAGAGTGTGCCGATGTTCTAAAGCGCTGGGTCGACCACCTTTGCTCTCCACAAGTCAACCAGAAGTCGAAGGCCCTTCTGGTCCTCCTCTCCTTGGGCTGCTTTTCCAGTGTGGCCGAGACGCTTCACAGGTACACGGGTGTGCAGTGGCTGGCCACCGTGCCCGCGATTTATCACTCCACGCCCTCCTGCTCAGTGCCCGGAGCCAAGGGAGAGGCGTGCATTCTAGGCTGACTGAAAAAACTAAAAGGAAAGGAATAGTCCATGTTTATTTGTTCATTTGCTCTAGGAGCTATGATAGATTCCTCCCTACATACAGGTCAGACCTAGCAGGTACCTAGTTAAAAGGAATATGGAAGAAGTCTTTAGAGAACTGGGGACAGTTCAGCTTTGAGTACAGCAACTGTGCTGCAGGCCAGAGGGCAGTAGGAAGGGCGACAAAGTTTGACAAGTGGCGATGTCTTCCCTGAAAATCTTGAAAAATAATGCCCATAACTTATTGGACATTTGATTTATTTAAAAGTAAAGGACGTAGATTGAGGTAATATGGCAAAGATTGCCTGTTGAATGTGGGTATTGCATGCTTGTCTTCTCTCTGAAGATTTCTGCGTGTTGCAGCTACCCCGCATTTTTTGGGTATTCATGAAAGGGAGCTTGGGCTTAGGGACCTGAGTCTGCTCCCCTCCTCCCCTCTGGAAGCCAGGCCTCAGAGAGGCGCTGGCGTAACTCACGTAGCCCTCAGGTTTCAGGGGAGAATGTGTACCAGCCTTTACCTAGATACTCTTGGATGGTTCTACGGCCAAATGCCCCACGTCACAGAGCCTAACTCTTCCTCTCCTCTGTCTGCCGAGCAGCATGAGATACTTCGACCGAGCTGCCTTGTTTGTGGAAGCTTGTCACACGTATGGCGCGATTGAAGTCAATGAGGACACAGATATCCTTTGGATGCTTATCCTGAGGGGGAGACATATGACTGAGGGGTTTTAGAATTCCTCTTGGTTGCGCTGCTGGGCAGGACCTATGTGAGATCGAGAAAGAGCCCCTCTCCGAGTCACCAAAGCCAGGAGAGGGAGGGACAGGAGGGAGAGACGGGGGGAGAAGGGGTGCATCGCTGCCTTGGCCCCCGGACGGACGCAGAGGCAGGAGGGACTGTAGAGGGAGGATCTCAAACTCTGTGATACCTTGTTCGACCTTTAAAAGAAGATAAAAGAAATAACTTAGGAAAGGTAGAGGAGCCTGCTACTTTAATATAGCCCTATATCAAAGCAGTGCACTCCATGGAATAAAAATTTACATATTTATCTGGAAAATACAGGAATAAATAAAAAAGACTCACTGTTTCCCATAATGACAATCTAATGTGGGACAAGACATGGCACTTCCAGGAGATGTGTCATGTAGGCAAGTCATCGGGGTCCTTCCGTGACCAGGAACATTTTATTTCTTCTAGATGTCCATTGAGTCATGTCTTTTTTCTTTGAAAAGAACGGGCTTGAGAATACAACTCCCACTTCCTTTTGTTTGTAGACCCTGCCTGTTCTCATTGCACTTTTTCTTGACTTACTACGTGGTGGTCGCGTTTCTACGTGTCAGATACTTGGCTTTCTGAACACTTTTATTACCAAAAACTAAACTAAACTTCAGCTTACTCAAGATCATGTATCTTGGCACCAGCCACGTTGGCTCTAGTTCAGAGGAGCCGTTTTGAATGTCAGGACACAGCAGAGCAGGGCCATCTAGAAACCCAGAGCCCAGCCCCCTGGGACCCCTGCCGTGGGGCAGGCTTCGTAAGCAGAACCCATCCCTGGAGCTGGACGGGGCCCGACTGCAGCCTCTCAGCCTTGGAGATGGCACAGGGGACTGCACGTGTCTCCTCTGCCATCGTCCTTTTTCCAGCCTTCGGTTTGTCGAGGTCGTGCAGCAGCCTGGGAGGACGTGAGTGGGGTCTTCTAGGAGAAGGGGAAGCTTTGGGCTCCGCAGGTGCTGAGTGTAGTGACGCCACAGATGGAGGTGTTGCCTCCCCCAAGCCAGCCCTGGGCCCTGCCCGCCCGCCTGTGGGAGCCTGGGTGGCGCGTCCTCGGGCCCTCGCTGCCCTTCTGCTCCTTAACCGTGGCTCACAGAAACTCTTCTCTGCCATATACGCCGATTACGCCCGAAGCCTAAAGAACCTCGGTTTTAAACAGGGAGCCGCTCTTTTTGCTTCAAAAGCTGGAGCAGCCGGCAGAGATCTGTTGAGTGAGCTGGAAGCCCCCAAAAAGGAACTGATTGAAGAGTGACGGGCGGACACGCGCCTGGAACGTGGACCTCATGGAGGACGCGCTGGGCTTCGGTGTGCCTTCGGTCACGGGCGCAGCCTGGGCTGGTGGAGGTGCTGTCCCTTCCCGCGCCCTCGAGCTGTGTCACTGGCTTCGAAGGCTCCCTGTGCGCGGCCGTATGGAAGGAACGTCCTCATGGCTGGGAGCTGGTCTGCGTCCTGTGTTCACTTCGGAGAAAAACGTGAACGCTTCAGGTTTTCAAAGTATATAACATTTTATACTTTTGGAGTTTAAGAGTCTTTGGAAATACTTTAATTTTTTTTAAACTTAAAATTCAAGTGACTGAATTGCTTTTCTTATTGATTAAATTTAAAGATGTTTGAAAAATCTATAGTAAGAAAGTTTGTGAGACCTATTCTCTAATATGTGCTGTGCCTGTGTTTATTTACAATCATTTCAGATACAAACAGAGCAGAAATATTTAAACAGTGATGACTTACCAAAGCATTCCTTGTTTTCAGACCTTGGAAACATACAAGTGTTCACCCCCTCGTTCAAGCAGTGGCTAAGTTTTCTAATTTCAGGCTCATGGGCTCATAGGGAAATGTTAAGCTTTACGTTTTGTTCCAGTATGTGGGGTCCTTGATCTTTTGAATTTTAATTCTTTCTGTGATCTAGTACATTAACCTCCTTTTTGAAACCTCTGTGCTTTACTTTTCTGTCTTTGTGTTAATATGAGATGTGACTATTATAAATTATTGCTGAGAATTTAAATGTCTATAACTTACAGAAATGGTAAATAAAAAGGAAATTCCATCCAGGCCTTGTGTTCTCTGCCTCGCTGTGCGGGTGCGGGTGCGGGTGCGGGCGAGGGACGGGCCTCAGTGCAGCTGCCCGACCCCCACAGGCCAGGCCGCCGGCTGGGTCCCAGAGACCACGGCATGCGACCACAGAGGGTGCATGCAGAGCAGGGCCGAGCTCTTGCTCCTCGAGCAGGTCTGCTGGCGTCCTGAGAGCAGGGCTCCTCTGTGGCTTTTGAAGGCGAGAGGGGAAGTGGCATATTCTTGCATTTCCCCTCCCAGGTGCCTGGATGACGGTATCTTCCCGCCCAGCAGGAGGTAGGATTTTTAGGTAGAGTCCTAGCCTCCACTTGCCTCCTCGGATGAGCAGCTGAGGTCCACGGGCAGGGAGGGCCCTCCCCCAGGGCCCTCCCTGCCCCCGGAGAGCCTGCTCCCTGGCCAGCGCTGGGGCTGAGCATCCCAGAAGAAACCCAAGACCCTTCTGTCGGCCCTGTAATGGGCCCAGTTTGCCCGCTTTTCTCTGCCTGGCCAGGTTACAGCAGGGTTTCTCAAGGCTGTGGGCAAACACAGCTCTCCTCACGTTACTTCTTATTTAAAGGATTATCCAGATATTGTTTATTTGTTCAACCACCGCCTAGTTGAAAGAAGAATGCCAATCTTAGTGAGCAGAGGAAAATGAAATTTTATTCCGCAGTAGGGTATTTTAAAAATTAAATATACGTTTGGATTTGAGGCCAGGGGGCTGTAGGCAGTCATGTGTGGGCTGAGTGGGAGCGAGGGAGTGAGCCCACTGGGCACACAGGCGGCAGCTTGGGCTTTGGTTAGAGTCCAGCTGGTTGGAATGGCGACCCTTACTCTCTCCGACAGGATGGAGACCGGGTCTGTGTCAAGTTCCAAGTGCAAGTCCTGTTCACTGTGTGCTGCTTTAGGTCTTCCCACTGCTGTGAAGGTGATAGCAGGACATTGTGTTCTTTTGAAGTAGATATCAGGGTGGCATCTGTATGAGTCCCGTGTCCCTTACAGGTGGCCCCAATCAGGAATTCTCAACAGAATGGAGTCTCTCATAGGAAAACAGACCCTCTCTTGCTCTTACTGCCTGGATGCTGTGCCCTGCGCCTGTGGTCACCCGTGGATTTCACTCAGCCACAGTGTGTGATTGAAATAAAGCCGTTAGGGCACAGACTTGTAACTGTGCTGCAGTCAAAGAATTCTGCAAGGCCGACACGACAGACAGACTAGCCCATGAGCCAACAGGGCTCTGTTTCTCCGGGAACCTGCTCGTAATTGATTGGACTGACTCACAAGGATTCGTGATGAAAGAACTTCTTTCAATTAAAATGCAAAGCCACGTCCCGTTAATTACACTCGTGCTACGTTCTAAAAGAAGGAAAGAGCAGCTGGGCATAAGAACGGGGTTCTAGACGGGCTGGGCTCTAGGGACACGGGCCGGCCAGAGGGGACTCGGGGAAGGTTGTCCCTCCGCCTTGCCTTAAAGGGTCCCTCCCTGTGGTGCTCGGCCAGCCACGCAGGACCTGCTCAAGGCAACCCCCCTCCCAGCTCCCCCCGTAGAAGACTTTCAGCAACTCTCAGCCTCTCGGGCGTTTTTCTTTAGTGTTTGGCTCTCAAACGCAGGCCCATGTGCTCACAGCCGTGGGTCTAGGAAGCTCCATACAACATGTATCCGTGCGTCACCCAGGCTGCCTTCTGTCTTGTTCCTGCCAATTCTGAGATAAAAGCCATAAATAGATGATAATAAACTTTAAATCCAAGAGCTGTTTTCATTTTCAGAACATTTTTAAGCAAATCTCAATTTTAAGCCACACGTCTCCTGACACGTTGTACTATAATAAGGCCCTCACCTTATCTAATCTTTTGGCATTCTACCATCATTTTTAAGCCATAATGCCTCAGGTAGCATAGAAGATGAAAACCAGTTACATCCTGATCCCAGGGGTAGGCGCCACTGTTGCTGAGGTGAATTCATGAGCATCCCACTTGGCGATCTCAGTGCCCGATGACAAGGCCTTGTACAATCCCATTTGGAGGAACCAGGGAGTGGGACAGGAAGTAACCAGACGTGACAAATGGACATGTTTGTGATACGATCAAATGGAAAGGCTCAAGGAGAAAATTGGCAAACTACGTTTTCACAGGCACGTACAAGTGGAAGGGAGGGTGGCCTAAGAAACAAAATTTCCTAAGGCCAACTTTTGGGGAAACGGCTCCGGCTCTTTACTGAAGAACTGCCTGTCTGACAACCACATTTATTAATGGTTTTCTAGGATGCGTATCAGTTGGGAATTTAATTGAATGACAGGCCTTTGCTTGTCTTAAATTACTAATCTTTGCCCAAAGTAGGCCAAGGAAAATACACCTGGGCCCCTCAAGAGCTAGAAATCTGCCTGGAGGACAGCGCTGTAGCCAGACTCCAGAGCCGGTTAATTCAAGGGCTGTTAGGAATCCGAGCTGAGCCTGTGCTTCTGGGAGCGGCGCCGCACGCACTGGGGGCCTGCTGGGGCCACGCGCCTGCTGGACAGCCGAGCCCTGGGCTGTGCGCGTCACCTCGGGGGACCCCCTCAGCGCTGCGCACCCCGGCCCGCAAGGGGGCACCTAGGGCGAGAGTGGAGTTTGTGACAGCGTGTCCCTGGTCCAGCTGCCTGATCTTGGGCAGGTTGTCACCTGAGCTTCATCTATAAAATAATTAGGATATTGTCTTCCTCCTGGGGTAGAGAGAAAAAGGTGACAGATGTCAGATGTCAAGGCTGGTTGTCACTCAGAGGATGCACTCTAGATCTTTAGTAGTTACTCAGGGATGTGCGGGGTCTGTTGACTTGGCGGCTCATTGGAAAATGGACGGGGGTGTCAGCTTTCCTTCAGGACAGTCTGGGTCACATGGCACAGACTAGCAGGAGCTGAGATCAGGACAGGTAGTGAGCGAGGGAGAGACGTAAGAAGGTCGACTCCTACCACCTCTAAAGTCACCCACTCTGGCCTTCTAGAAAACCGGTTTTTGCACAGCAAGAATGTGATCTGGAGCCAAGTGGCTTGCCTTCGCTGTCCCTGAGGCATCTCTAGAAACATGCCCAGTCTGCGTCTAGCACTCCGCCCAGAAAATCTCCCTCACACGTAGCGTCTCGCCTGAGACAAAATCCCCTTCCTGCTGCCCAGCCCGAGCGCCCCCACATCCCCGGCCTCGCCCCTCCCCGCAGGGGCCTCCGTCCGGGGACTCCTTTTCTGTGGAAGGCACGACGGACGCTGGACATGGAGACAGCAGGCTGTGTGGTGTGTTGGTGTGGATGCCACTACGATGGGGACTGAGTGGCCAGGGAGCCGCCGGCGGGAGGGGGAGCTTCTCAGTGGCGGGTGGCAGAAAAAGGAGGCCTCCCAGCAGAACGGACAGCGTGACAGGTGGCCGGTGGGGGGTGCAGAGCATCTCTGGCCTGAGCCGGGAGGCCAGCTCCACCTGGGGATGGGAGGGGGCGTGACACTGGGTAGGCAGGCGGGCCCTGTGTGATGCCCTCGGGCTCTGAGACTCCTCTCCAGGACAAGGCGGGCAAGAGCACCGAGAAAGTCCATTTGTTCCCGATGACCGGATTCATCTGCCCCCACGGCCACGGGCCCAGTCGGGAAGGTCGGAACCAGAGCGGGAGCAGGGCCCCGGTGGAGCAGGGCAGGGGGGCTCTGGAGGTACCTCAGCCACGTGCGGGACGCTCCTCCCTCAGAGTGAGCTGGGGGACGAGGGACAGAGACAGCACCCTGAGCCCAGGCTGGCAGCTGGCGAATTGTGTTACAACAGAACTGGGAGGCAAAACCATCCCAAGAACATGGGAGCGCTTCCAGTCCCCAGAGGTGCCTCAGCAGCTCCCTGCCTGTCCCCTCCTGGGGATGTGACTGGGTGCCAGGGCCCGCCCCCCCACCGCCCCCCCACACCTCCGAAGCAGCGAGGTGAGGGGTGGAAATGGCAGGGATTTGGGGCCATGTTAAAGTGGGACAGGCAGGAAGCAGGGTGGCGCTGCTGGTGGATCTGTTCTGGTGAGCGAGTGCGCTGCCAGGAGCCCACCCCTCGGCCTTCCAGGCACAAAGCCTGCACGCTCTGTCGAGTCCTCACAGCTTCGGGGTGGGGGTTATCACCCCATTTCACAGAAGAGTAAACTAAGGCTCAGGGACTTTGAGAGAAACTAGATTGCCCTTGAATGAGGAGCTTCCTGGGACACCAGACTCAGTGTTAAAACCAGGACAGTCCTCAGCAAATGGGGGCAGTTGGCCACCCTACTAGGAAGTGACAAAGCTGAGATGCCAGGCAGGCCTGTCTGACATCTCAGGCCAGCTACTTGGTCTCTGCCCAGTTCCCTGAAGGAGGGAGAACTTAGGGGGATTCAACCCGCAGCTGAGCCGGAATCCTGCTCCCTCTTCATCTAGGGGCCCCGGGGGCACCGAGTCCAACAGGAGACCAGACCGAGGAGGCCAGGAAGCCGGCGGGGGCGAGGACGAAAGGGCTGCCTTCTTTGCCGGGCTTTGTTGGAGAGAACGCGGGTTTCAAAACCTTTCTTTAAACTTTTTGGGGAGCTTAGACTCTGCACGTAGACTTATTTGCCGAACTGGAGCAGGTTCCAGCCCTTCGGTTTGGGGTACTCTCCTTCCGTACAAAAACCTTTGATGAACGCTGCTGCTTACTTTCTGCCTTTATTTTTCTTTTAAACGAAGAGTAGCTGCCCTGGGGGAACTGAAACAGGCCCGTGGGCTGGAAATCCAAACGCTGGTCTACAGCGTCTGCTCCACTCCTTGGTCAAGGACTTCGGAAGATGGTGCCTCCTTTTCCGGCTACCTCCGAGGTAGCTCTGTTTCCAGTTCTGAGGCCAGCAGACAGCGGCACAATGACCTGTCCCCTCATGTCGACAGGGCCTCTGCGGCCAATAGGTGCCCAAATCCTTGTCTCAGGGATGCTTCTGCTCAGGGTTTGGTTTGGGAGGAAGTCCACGTGGATCAACTTCAAT